TATTCACAGTGCAGAGAACAATGACTGACCATAAACACCGGTTGAGTAGATGAGTGTCATCCAATCACATTGTTTACACATTTGTTTAGTTTGTGGACATGCCCGGTCAGATCACCCAACTGTGTGTGTGTGTGAGGGACGATTACATGTCTATGTTGCAGTAATCCCTGGTGTATATAGTTTGTGTGCTGCCGTAGGCAACACTAAAACACTGACACCAATGATGGGGCACTATTCCTCCCACTGACACCAATGATGGGGCACTATTCCCCCCACTGACACCAATGATGGGGCACTATTCCCCCCACTGACACCAATGATGGGGCACTATTCCTCCCACTGATATCAATGATGGGGCACTATTCCTCCCACTGACACCAATGATGGGGCACTATTCCTTCCACTGACACCAATGATAGGGCACTATTCCTCCCACTGACACCAATGATGGGGCACTATTCCTCCCACTGACACCAATGATGGTACACTATTCCTCCCACTGACACCAGTGATGGGGCACTATTCCTCCCAATGATACCAATGATGGGGCACTATTCCTCCCACTGACTCCAATGATGGGGCACTATTCCTCCTACTGACACCAATGATGGGGCACTATTCCTCCCACTGATACCAATGATGGGGCACTATTCCTCCCACTGACACCAATGATAGGGCACTATTCCTCCTACTGACTCCAATGATGGGGCACTATTCCTCCTACTGACACCAATGATGGGGCACTATTCCTCCCACTGACACCAATGATGGGGCACTATTCCTCCCACTGATACCAATGATGGGGCACTATTCCTCCCACTGATACCAATGATGGGGCACTATTCCTCCCACTGACTCCAATGATGGGGCACTATTCCTCCTACTGACACCAATGATGGGGCACTATTCCTCCCGCTGAAACCAATGATGGGGCACTATTCCTCCCACTGACACCAATGATGGGGCACTATTCTTCCCACTGACACCAACAATGAGGCACTATTCCTCCCACTGACACTAATGATGGACCACTACTCTTCCCACAAATACCACTGATAGGGCACTATTCCCACTGACACCAACAGTAAGGCACTATTCCTCCCACTGACACCAATGATGGGGTACTATTCCTCCTACTGACACCAATGATGGGGCACTATTCCGCTCACTGACACCTATGATGGGGCACTATTCCTTCCACTGATACCAATGGTGGGGCACTATTCCTCCCACTGACACCAATGATGGGGCACTATTCTTCCCACTGACACCAACAATGAGGCACTATTCCTCCCACTGACACCAACGATGGGGCACTATTCCTCCCACTGACACTAATGATGGACCACTACTCTTCCCACAAATACCACTGATAGGGCACTATTCCCACTGACACCAACAGTAAGGCACTATTCCTCCCACTGACACCAATGATGGGGTACTATTCCTCCTACTGACACCAATGATGGGGCACTATTCCGCTCACTGACACCTATGATGGGGCACTATTCCTCTCACTGACACCTATGATGGGGCACTATTCCTCCCACTGACACCAATGATGGGGCACTATTCCTCCCACTGACACCAATGATGGGACACTATTCCTCCCACTGACACCAATGATGGGGCACTATTCCTCCCACTGACACCAATGATGGGGTACTATTCCTCCCACTGACACCAATGATGGGGCACCAATGCCAATGGCGGCTCAGTATGAAGTTGCGTCTGCGGATTTCCTGGATAATGGCGATAGTGTCCGCCATGATTAGTGTTCCAATAAACAATACCACCAATCAGCAGGCTCAATGGAAGCGCCTTGGACGTGGATTTGCATACGGCTCCTTGTTTGTGTGTTCGATCAGTTTATTTGTACCAGTAGATGGGTGGAAGGTGCTGCAAATCGTCCAGCTTGGGTTAGATTGTGTTTGTTTTAGCAAACTGAGGCTGAAAGGCGAGTGCCGGTGGGTGTTTGATGGCTGCCAGTCATCCCAGAAGTGTGAAGCTCCTTGGAATGTTGGGAGTTGTTGTGGAATCTGGTCACCTGCTCTTTGTGGGTTCAGTACAGCCGGCTGGTCCGTTGGCTGCAATGGCCTTTCTCAAGCTTTTTTCTCCAAAGGAACCCTTGCAATTATTTTCAGGGAACCCTTGCCAAGATTAGTCTATTGGTGGTCATAGGGAAAATGCCCCATACATTGGTGGTAGTCTTAGGGAAAATTCCACCATACATTGGTGGAGGTCATTGGGAAAATGCCCCTTACATTGGTGGAGGTCATTGGGAAAATGCCCCTTACATTGGTGGAGGTCATTGGGAAAATGCTTCATACATTGGTGGAGGACATTGGGAAAATGCTTCATACATTGGTGGTGGTCATTGCGAAAATGCTCCATGCATTGGTGGTGGTCATAGGGAAAATGCCCCATACATTGGTGGTAGTCATAGGGAAAATGCCCCATACATTGGTGGTAGTCATAGGGAAAATGCCCCATACATTGGTGGTGGTCATTGGGAAAATGCCCCATACATTGTTGGAGGTCATTGGGAAAATGCCCCATACATTAGTGGTAGTCATAGGGAAAATGCCCCATACATTGTTGTAGTCATAGGGAAAATGCCCCATACATTGGTGGTGGTCATTGGGAAAATGCCCCATACATTGTTGGAGGTCATTGGGAAAATGCCCCATACATTGGTGGAGGTGATTGGGAAAATGCCCCATACATTGGTGGTGGTCATTGGGAAAATGCTCCATACATTGGTGGTGGTCATTGGGAAAGTGCCCCATACATTGGTGGTGGTCATTGGGAAAATGCCCCTTACATTGGTGGAGGTCATTGGGAAAATGCTTCATACATTGGTGGAGGACATTGGGAAAATGCTTCATACATTGGTGGTGGTCATTGCGAAAATGCTCCATGCATTGGTGGTGGTCATAGGGAAAATGCCCCATACATTGGTGGTAGTCATAGGGAAAATGCCCCATACATTGGTGGTAGTCGTAGGGAAAATGCCCCATACATTGGTGGTGGTCATTGTGAAAATGCTCCATACATTGGTGGTGGTCATTGGGAAAATGCCCCTTACATTGGTGGAGGTCATTGGGAAAATGCTTCATACATTGGTGGTGGTCATTGCGAAAATGCTCCATACATTGGTGGTGGTCATTGGGAAAATGCCCCTTACATTGGTGGAGGTCATTGGGAAAATGCCCCTTACATTGGTGGTGGTCATTGGGAAAATGCTTCATACATCTTGTATAATAATAATGATAATAATACTAATAGTATAATAAATTCTGTACAATAATATTAATAATAATAGAAATCGTGTATAATAATAATAAATTCTGTATAATAATAATAATAATAATAATATAAATCCTGTATAATAATAATAATTTAAACTAGAAAAGCTACAATTTCTGGGGAAATTGTGTGAAGTGTTCTTGCCTCCACCTTTATATTGTGAGAATCACAAGACCCAGACCCACATTTTGATGCATAGTATGTCTTTGAAATATTAAAAATGAAGGCACAGTCGCAGTTTAGAAATTGCACTTCAAATTTGAGGTGGCTAGAGTGGAGTTTCAATGAATGTCAATGGGCGGCGTGAGTTGCAAACAAATGGTCATATTGTGAAAACTATCAGGACTACGGCTTAGCCGTGGACATTTTTAGTGGCAGCAGGGATAGCTGAACGTTTTGATATAAGATTTGTGTAGGGGGGCTTGAAAATGAGGGAGTGATGGCAGTTTAGAAATCATGTCCTGATTTTTCAGCTCCCACTCTAGTTTTGAACATTCCGCCATTCATTCCTATGGGACCAATTTCACCACAAAAAACGGCGATATTTCATGAACCATTCGGCGAAACGTTCTACAAAGTAATAGCGCACCAATCGGGAACAATCCGCACGTTTCCGTATATTACTGTCTATGGAGTGTGAGAACTGTGGGAGGAGTTAGGGTGGTAAATTTGGCTATAATAATCAGAATATATATGTGAGATAATGGGAAGTGGTCGTCATCCAGGAACACTTAATAATATAAATCCTGTATAATAATAATAATATAAATCCTGTATAATAATAATAATAATAATAATAATAATATATAATTCTGTATAATAATAATAATAATAATAATATAAATCCTGTATAATAATAATATAAATCCTGTATAATAATAATAATATAAATTCTGTATAATAATATAAATCCTGTATAATAATAATATAAATTTCTGTATAATAATAATAATATAAATTTTTGTATAATAATAATATAAATCCTGTATAATAATAATAATAATAATATATATAAATTCTGTATAATAATAATATAAATCCTGTATAATAATAATAATAATAATATAAATTCTGTATAATAATAATATAAATCCTGTATAATAATAATAATAATATATATATAAATCCTGTATAATAATAATAATATAAAATCCTGTATAATATATATAAATTTTCTGTATAATAATAATTTTTATAAATTCTGTATAATAATAATAATATCAGTAGGGTGTCTGTATTGCCTACGCTGGGATCTGGTTTCTATAAGTAACAGACGACCCCCCCCCCGATCAGCGGTGTCGCTCGGAGCCCAGGAAGGGGTTAAACATAACGCCAGTCGCGCTCATTAGCCGCCAGTGAAAGGTTTCTTCCTATGAATACATCTCAGAGCAGCAGCTGCAGCGATCGGCTTCCCCACCCCATCCATGCAAATCCTCCTCCCCGCCGCCGGCTCTTCTTAAAGAGACAAATCAGAGAGAGCGAAATAAAGGAGAAGACAGGAATGCGATCGCCATGACATCACTAATACCCGCGTCAGCTATGCGATCTGCTTTATTGACTATTGACTTTCTGCGGAGTGTTGACTCAGGACTTCGGTGTGTGCGAATCCGCCGCTCAGCCTGAGCGTGAAGGATGTGATATCGATCGTCCGGGAGAATCCTCCGGGGGCTGCATGCTGCTGCTGGCCGTTCATGACACGTAATGCCATTCCTGGGACGGCGGAGGTGAGTGCGTTCCCTACGCTCCCTGGTCTCCCCTATGTGTGCCCCCCGGAGCCCACAGACCAGCTGTCGGGGCCCTCTTAGTTATTTCAGCTACTTGTATTGCGTCGTCAGATTACATATATATTGTACATTCACATCAGTCCCCGACCCTCAAGGGGTGTACAATCTAGGGTCCCTAACTCACACATACTAGGACCAATTCAGACAGGAATCAATTCACCTACCAGCATGTCTTTGGAGTGTAGGAGGAAACCCACACAGGCACAGGGAGAACATGCAAACTCCAGGCAGGTGGTGCTGTGGTCGGGATTCACACCAATGACCCTAGTCCCTGACCCTCAAGGGGCATACAATCTAGGGTCCCTAACTTACACATACTAGGGCCAATTCAGACAGGAGCCAATTCACCTTTCAGGATGTCTTTGGAGTGTGGAAGGAAACCCACGCAGGCACAAGGAGAACATGCAAACTCCAGGCAGGTGGTGCTGTGGTTGGGACATTTAATTTATTTATTTCATACATACACATACTAGGGCCAATTTAGACAGGAATCTATTCGCCTACCAGCATGTCTTTTCAGTGTGGGAGGAAACCGGAGTACCCAGAGGAAACCCACGCAGGCACAGGGAGAACATGCAAACTCCAGGCAGGTGGTGCTGTGGTTGGGATTTGAAACAATGACACAAGTACTGCCAGGCGGAAGTGCTAACCATTTAGCCACTGTGCTCTTATCACTCTTATAATATCCAGACTCCATCAACAGCAGATTATCACCCTGCTGAATGGACTGTCACTTCTTTGATGGCAGGGGGGGAGTCTCAGTCCTCCTGCTGAATGGACTGTCACTTCTTTGATGGCGGGGGGAGCCTCAGTCCTCCTGCTGCATGGACTGTCACTTCTTTGATGGCAGGGGGGAGTCTCAGTCCTCCTGCTGCATGGACTGTCACTTCTTTGATGGCAGGGGGGGAGTCTCAGTCCTCCTGCTGCATGGACTGTCACTTCTTTGATGGCAGGGGGGGAGTCTCAGTCCTCCTGCTGCATGGACTGTCACTTCTTTGATGGCAGGGGGGGAGTCTCAGTCCTCCTGCTGCATGGACTGTCACTTCTTTGATGGCAGGGGGGGAGTCTCAGTCCTCCTGCTGCATGGACTGTCACTTCTTTGATGGCAGGGGGTAGTCTCAATCCTCCTGCTGCATGGACTGTCACTTCTTTGATGGCAGGGGGGGAGTCTCAGTCCTCCTGCTGCATGGACTGTCACTTCTTTGATGGCAGGGGGTAGTCTCAATCCTCCTGCTGCATGGACTGTCACTTCTTTGATGGCAGGGGGGGAGTTTCTGTCCTCCTGCTGCATGGACTGTCACTTCTTTGATGGCAGGGGGGAGTCTCAGTCCTCGTGCTGCATGGACTGTCACTTCTTTGATGGCAGGGGGGAGTCTCAGTCCTCCTGCTGCATGGACTGTCACTTCTTTGATGGCGAGGGAGAGTCTCAGTCCTCCTGCTGCATGGACTGTCACTTCTTTGATGGCAGGGGGGAGTCTCAGTCCTCCTGCTGCATGGACTGTCACTTCTTTGATGGCATTTTGGGGGGAGTCTCAGTCCTCCTGCTGCATGGACTGTCACTTCTTTGATGACAGGGAGGGAGTCTCAGTCCTCCTGCTGCATAGACTGTCACTTCTTTGATGGCAGGGGGGATTCTCAGTCCTCCTGCTGCATGGACTGTCACTTCTTTGATGGCAGGGGGGGAGTTTTTCTGTCCTCCTGCTGCATGGACTGTCACTTCTTTGATGGCGGGGGGGAGTCTCAGTCCTCCTGCTGCATGGACTGTCACTTCTTTGATGGCGGGGGAGAGTCTCAGTCCTCCTGCTGCATGGACTGTCACTTCTTTGATGGCGGGGGGGAGTCTCAGTCCTCCTGCTGCATGGACTGTCACTTCTTTGATGGCAGGGGGGGAGTTTCTGTCCTCCTGCTGCATGGACTGTCACTTCTTTGATGGCGGGGGGGAGTCTCAGTCCTCCTGCTGCATGGACTGTCACTTCTTTGATGGCAGGGGGGGAGTTTCTGTCCTCCTGCTGCATGGACTGTCACTTCTTTGATGGCAGGGGGGGAGTATCAGTCCTCCTGCTGCATGGACTGTCACTTCTTTGATGGCAGGGGGCAGTCTCAGTCCTCCTGGTGCATGGACTGTCACTTCTTTGATGGCAGGGGGGGAGTCTCAGTCCTCCTGCTGCATGGACTGTCACTTCTTTGATGGCAGGGGGGGAGTCTCAGTCCTCCTGCTGCATGGACTGTCACTTCTTTGATGGCAGGGGGGGAGTCTCAGTCCTCCTGCTGCATGGACTGTCACTTCTTTGATGGCAGGGGGGGAGTCTCAGTCCTCCTGCTGCATGGACTGTCACTTCTTTGATGGCAGGGGGGGAGTCTCAGTCCTCCTGCTGCATGGACTGTCACTTCTTTGATGGCAGGGGGGAGTCTCAGTCCTCCTGCTGCATGGACTGTCACTTCTTTTTTGGCAGGGGGGGAGTTTCTGTCCTCCTGCTGCATGGACTGTCACTTCTTTGATGGCGGGGGGGAGTCTCAGTCCTCCTGCTGCATCGAAACTGAACTGTCACTTCTTTGATGGCGGGGGGGGGGGGGGGGGGGGGGGGGGGGGGGGGGGGGGGGGGAGTCTCAGTCCTCCTGCTGCATGGACTGTCACTTCTTTTATGGCAGGGGGGAGTTTCTGTCCTCCTGCTGTATGGACTGTCACTTCTTTGATGGCGGGGGGGAGTCTCAGTCCTCCTGCTGCATGGACTGTCACTTCTTTGATGGCAGGGGGGAGTCTCAGTCCTCCTGCTGCATGGACTGTCACTTCTTTGATGGCAGGGGGGGAGTTTCTGTCCTCCTGCTGCATGGACTGTCACTTCTTTGATGGCAGGGGGGGAGTCTCAGTCCTCCTGCTGCATGGACTGTCACTTCTTTGATGGCGGGGGCAGTCTCAGTCCTCCTGCTGCATGGACTGTCACTTCTTTGATTTTTTTTTTTTTTTCTCAGTCCTCCTGCTGCATGGACTGTTCACTTCTTTGATGGCGGGGGGGAGTCTCAGTCCTCCTGCTGCATGGACTGTTTTTACTTCTTTGATGGCGGGGGGGGAGGAGTCTCAGTCCTCCTGCTGCATGAACTGTCACTTCTTTGATGGCGGGGGGGGGAGTCTCAGTCCTCCTGCTGCATGGACTGTCACTTCTTTGATGGCAGGGGGGAGTTTCTGTCCTCCTGCTGTATGGACTGTCACTTCTTTGATGGCGGGGGGGAGTCTCAGTCCTCCTGCTGCATAGGTCTGATAAAGGCTACAGGTCATGACATCTGGGCGGAACTGGGAACTCAACCCCAGAGCTCTCACTTCCTGATAGGTATGAGAATCTGCCCAGAGCGGGATCATTCGGTTTTGGGCGGAATTGCACTTTAAGATGGAAATGGCCACGATATCTCCCGGCTTCACCCCTTTCCCATCCCCCCCCCAACCCCCCCAGTGACCACCAATCCATCGATGAAGGCTACCATTGGCATCCTTGCTATGCAGTCAGGCTGATATCCCTGATCAACAAGAGTTTATGGCTGCACTGCATGGACTCTCATTTCTTTAATGGCCGCAGGAGTCTCATTCCTCTTGCTGCATATGTATAATGAGGTCTACTGGTCATGGCGCATGGGCGGAGCTGGAAAATCAAGCACAGATATAGATATATAATTTTATTCATACTCTTTTTTTTTTTTTATTATATTTTGATTCATATATATTTTATTATATAGTTTTATTCATATATAATTATTATTATCATTATTATTATTAATATTAACAATAATAGTAATAATAATAATATGAATAATTTATTATAATTTGATTCATATTTATATATATTATTTTATTCCTACTTTTATTATTATTATTTATTATTGATTATTATTATTTATTATTGACCATCCTGAACTCAGCGGCCAGACTCATCCACCTCACCACCCGCTCCACCTCTGCCACCCCCCTCTGCCTCTCCCTCCACTGGCTCCCGATTGCCCAACGCATCAAATTTAAACTCCTAACCCTGACCTACAAAGCCGTTCACAACACTGCCCCTGACTACCTCACCAACCTGATCCAGTACCGCCCTACCCGTACCCTTCGCTCCTCACAGGACCTCCTTCTATCTTGCTCCCTGGTCTCCTCCTCCCATGCACGACTGCAGGACTTCTCCAGGTCCTCCCCCATCCTCTGGAACTCACTGCCCCAATCCATCAGACTGTCGCCTTCCCTCCTCACATTCATGCGCTCCCTCAAAACCCATCTTTTCAGGGAAGCCTACCCCACCCTCACCTAACGGCCATTCTCCCTCTTTCCTCCCACCCCTCATTCCCCTCAGCCACTTCCTACTGTACCTTTACCCCCTCCCACCTAGATTGTAAGCTCGAAAGAGTAGGGCCCTCTTACCCCTCGTACGTTGTTTGTTGTTGTTGTACTGTGCCATGTATTGTCCCCCCTCTATTGTACAGCGCTGAGCAAACCCTTTGGCGCTATATAAACTCCATGTAATAATAATAATAATAATAATTGATCTTCGTGACACGCGAATCATCAGTCTGTATCAGAGGAAATTTCCATCGAATTTTTGAGTACATTGTATCTGCAGGTAATTAAATAAAGGATACAATGTGACGATTCGGGGCCAATGCGGTTTTGTGTGGTATATCGAATGTTTTATAAAGCTTTAAAAGAAACTCTTGGCAATGACCAGTATTAAGGGTGATACTCAAATCCCTCTGGAAGGGCACCCAACAAGCCTAGCCGGCGCACCACGGCGCATGCGCATTTAAGCCCGCCACGGTGCTCAGACGTGAGCCATCGTTGCGTTGTGTTGAACTACGTGAGTACATTGTTGCAGATGCTTCTGTATTATAATATATTTGTTTGTTGCCTCGGTGAAATGACGTTAACCTGCATGAGATATTCATGGGTGACATTTACATCCACATATGCAAATCCTCCCCGTCAGCCTTGTTCCTCCCATGTCAGCCTTGTTCCTCCCATGTCAGCCTTGTTCCTCCCATGTCAGCCTTGGTCCTCCCATGTCAGCCTTGGTCCTCCCATGTCAGCCTTGGTCCTCCAATGTCAGCCTTGGTCCTCCCATGTCAGCCTTGGTCCTCCAATGTCAGCCTTGGTCCTCCAATGTCAGCCTTGGTCCTCCAATGTCAGCCTTGGTCCTCCAGTGTCAGCCTTGGTCCTCCCGTGTCAGCCTTGTTCCTCCCGTGTCAGCCTTGTTCCTCCCGTGTCAGCCTTGTTCCTCCCGTGTCAGCCTTGTTCCTCCCGTGTCAGCCTTGTTCCTCCCGTGTCAGCCTTGTTCCTCCCGTGTCAGCCTTGTTCCTCCCGTGTCAGCCTTGTTCCTCCCATGTCAGCCTTGTTCCTCCCATGTCAGCCTTGTTCCTCCCATGTCAGCCTTGGTCCTCCCATGTCAGCCTTGTTCCTCCCATGTCAGCCTTGTTCCTCCCATGTCAGCCTTGTTCCTCCCATGTCAGCCTTGGTCCTCCCATGTCAGCCTTGGTCCTCCCATGTCAGCCTTGGTCCTCCCATGTCAGCCTTGGTCCTCCCATGTCAGTCTTGGTCCTCCCATGTCAGTCTTGGTCCTCCCATGTCAGCCTTGGTCCTCCCATGTCAGCCTTGGTCCTCCCATGTCAGCCTTGTTCCTCCCATGTCAGCTTTGTTCCTCCCATGTCAGCTTTGTTCCTCCCATGTCAGCCTTGTTCCTCCCATGTCAGCCTTGGTCCTCCCATGTCAGCCTTGTTCCTCCCATGTCAGCCTTGTTCCTCCCATGTTAGCCTTGTTCCTCCCATGTCAGCCTTGGTCGTCCCATGTCAGCCTTGGTCGTCCCATGTCAACCTTGGTCGTCCCATGTCAGCCTTGGTCGTTCCATGTCAGCCTTGTTCGTCCCATGTCAGCCTTGTTCGTCCCATGTCAGCCTTGTTCGTCCCATGTCAGCCTTGGTCCTCCCATGTCAGCCTTGGTCCTCCCATGTCAGCCTTGGTCCTCCCATGTCGGTAAGCAGTAAAATCCTCTTCTGCTCACCAAGGTCTCGCTCTGCTATTTGGGACACACTTCTAAAAAGGACGCTCTACGTTTCGCACAATGGCGCAGGCCGGTCATTGTCCAAATTACACAAATCTGGAGATTCCAGGAAGGACCCGGAGTGTCTGGAATAGAAGGAGCCGGGATTAGGCCTGTCAGTGGAGTGGTTGGGAGTCGTGTCTTTTGTCAGCAGAAGGTCTATCCCGTCTCAGCCGGCGTCTGAAAACACAGATTTGGTTGTGGTGAGGAACTCAAAATCCTTCCACACCATTCATATCAATGACGGCCCGCCTTCTGTTTAATTTGGATCTGATTTTTGAAAAACAAATGTTTATTTTTATTAAAATGGTCCTTTAACCAAACAAATTCAGCCATGGGAAGGAAATTCTGTTTTTTGTTACAAATGCTAAATAAAATTGAGGCGCTGGACTCCAACTTGGCTTTCTTTTATATAGTATTTGTTCACTTGACCTCAGTCCCACAATGTGGGAGACGCCCAACTTGAGAAATTTGAACGCGTAAGATGGGGAACCAAATGGTCAGCTCAAAAGTCCATAAAACTTTATTCATAAAAATAGCCTTGACACCAATGAACCTCGCCTCCCCGCAAATCCTCAGCAACCTTGCCTGGTGCTGGAGGTATTGGGCCACCTTGGCCCACACTGGTGCTCAAAGCTCCCTGATCTATGAAAATGCCAGATCAGAATAAAGACCTGGACCCCCCCCCCCCAACTTTAACACTAACCCCCAGCACTAATGACCATTGCAGATCTTCACCAACCTTGCCTGGTGCTGGAAGTATTGGGCCCTTTTGGCCCAGATTGGTGCTGAAGGCTCCCTGATCTAAGAAAATGCTGGATCGGCACAGAGTAGTGTATCCTTGAACGTAACGCTAACCCCCAACATTAATGGATCCCCCAACAGATCCTCACCAACCTTGTCTGGTTCTGGAAGTATTTGGCTCTCTTGGCCCCCACTAATGACCCCCCCAACCCCGCAGACCCTAACCTCCCACCCCATAGATCCTCACTAACCTTGCCTAGCCCTGGAAATATTGGGTTACCTTGGCCAAGATTGGTGCTGAAAGCTTCCCGATGTACGGAAATGCTGGATCAGCACAAAGTCCTGTATCCTTGAACTTAACACTAACCCCCAACACTAATGAACCCCCAGCAAATCTCACAAACCTTGCACTGGAAGTATTGGACTTTCTTGGCCCAGATTTTTGCTGAAAGCTCCCTGATCTATGAAAATGCCGGATTGGCACAAAATACTCTACAGCTGACCTTAACACTAACCCTGTACACTAATGACTCCCCCCCCCCCCCCCCCCCCCCTCCCTTGCAGATCCTCACCAACCTTGTCTGGTGTTGGAGGTATTGAACCTTCTTGGCCTAGATTGGTGCTGAAAGCTCTCTGACCCATGAAAATGCTGGATCAGAATAAAGTACTGGACCCCCTGACTTTAACACTAACTCCCAACACTAATGACCCTTGCAGAGCTTCACCAACCTTTCCTGGTGCTGGAAGTATTGGGCCCTCTTGGCCCAGATTGGTGCTGAAGGCTCCCTGATCTAAGAAAATGCTGGATCAGAGTAGAGCATCCTTGACCCTAACGCTACCCTCCAACACTAATGAACCCCCTGATAGATCCTCCCCAACCTTGCCTGGTGCTGGAAGTATTGGGCCCTCTTGGCCCCTAACACTAATGACCCCCCCCCCCACAAACCTTAACCTCCCACACCACAGATCCTCACCAACCTTGCCTAGCCCTGGAAGTATTGGGCTACTTTGGCCCAGATCGGTGTCAATGACCCTTGCAGATCTTCACCAACCTTGTCTGGTAGTGGAAGCACTAGGCCCTCTTGGCCCCCAACACTAATGACCCCCCCCCACACACACACACAGACCCTAACCTCCTACCCACAGATCCTTACTAACCTTGCCTAGCCCTGGAAGCATTGAGTTACTTTGACCCAGATTGGTGCCAATGACCCTTGCAGATCTTCACCAATTTTGTCTGGTAGTGGAAGCACTAGACCCTCTTGGCCCCCAACACTAATGACCCCCCCCCCACACACACACAGACCCTAACCTCCCACCCCACAGATCCTCACTAACCTTTCCTAGCCCTGGAAGTGAGTTACCTTGGCCCAGATTGGTGCTAATGACCATTGCAGGTCTTCACCAACCTTGTCTGGTAGTGGAAGTATTAGGCCCTCTTGGCCCCCAACACTAATGACCCCCTCCCCCCCCCGCAGACCCTAACCTCCCACCCCCCCACAGATCCTCACTAACCTTTCCTAGCCCTGGAAGTGAGTTACCTTGGCCCAGATTGGTGCTAATGACCCTTGCAGGTCTTCACCAACCTTGTCTGGTAGTGGAAGCACTGTGCCCTCTTGGCCCCTAACACTAATGAACCCCCCTGAAGATCCTACCCCTCAGATCCTCACTAATCTCCAATTGGTCCTGAAAGCTCCCTGATCTATGAAAATGCCAGATCTGCACAAACTACTGTACCCCCTGACCTTAACACTAATCCTCAACACTGATGACCCCCTGCAGATCCTAACCAACCTTGCCTGGTGCTGGAAGCATTGGGCTGTCTTGGCCCAGATTGGTTTTGAAAGCTGATATATGATAATGCCGCGTTTGGCACAAAGTTCTGTATGAAGGCAACAAGTCATGCTCATGGATGGTAACCTGGTGTGTCTGCTGTCTTTGTTTTTCAGGCTCCCGGCAGAAGAAGGAAGAACATGACCGAGTTCCTCGGGGATGCGACTATCCCCATGCAGGATTCTCTTCAGAACCTCAGCGGCTCTCTGCCCAACAACGGCAACGACACGTGGAAGAACCGGGCTGCCAGCCGCTTCAGCGGCTTCTTTGGAACTGGCACCACCGGGCCATTTGGGAAGGTAGGCCGAAATTTAATGAAACTTTGTATCAGTAACTGTCAAATATTCACACGCTCAACCTGGGATGTCTCTTAACTGACAATGTCTTAGAACAAGGAAAGAGAGGTCATAAATTGTAAAAGCACGGAACGATGCACGTGTAGCCTACCCTCTTAGGAGTTGCTGAGTTTTGGGTCCCCCTATAGTGCTGCACAGCCAGGCAACACGCATTTTCTTCAGACCTTGCACACTGGAGACAGTAAACAGCCCCTGAGCTTGTTTTTTTGGGCTTTATTAAGGGGTATTAATCTTGGATGGGGTTGAGGGGTGTATGTGATGCCCAAGGGAACGTGAACTGAGGACAAACGCCAAAGCAACTATGTGCAAGTCTTTAAACATCAACGTCTCTTTGTTGGGAGAGCTCTCCAGCCCTCCTGGTGTACCATCTCAGACCCCAGATGAAATCTGCTCTTCACCCAGGTGCCTGAGAGAATCCCTGGGCAAGGGGACCCAGAATCTGCCACTTTTGAATCCTCAGTCCCAGATGGGGGCTAGTCAAGTTTCCCACCAGAATTGGGTTGACCACCTGACTGCTCTCGACCCTTATCTGGCCCGGGGAATGTGGGATTACTCACTCTGTCCTCTCCTGCAAGCCTATGGGTTGGTAGTTGCCTTCAGACCTTACGCCGGGCTGGTTCCTTCCCTGCTTCCCAGGCTGTCCTCTCTCAGGGGACAGTTGAGGCTGAGAGATCCTCCCTTCCATCTCCTGTCTGTAGGTAGGCCCATCTCTTGGGTCCCCTCCCAGGCTCCACACTGCAGCCTTCTCACCTCATCTTCCACCCGAACTCTCCTGGTACTGAGCAGGCTCAATCATTCTTAAGGGCTGTCCTGACCCCATGTCAAGCCTCCTGCCTGGGGATTGTCCAGGATCCCTCAAGAATGCAGACTAGCTCCTCCTCACGCCTGCCCACTGAGTTCTAGATACTTCTCCAAGTCTCTAGATCAGAGTGAGATATTAGAAAGCTGATCTGCAGACAGGGGCGTCCCTAGGGTTGGTGTCACCCGGTGCGGTAACACCTGGTGACACCCCCTTCGACGTTTATCACAGAATGGATCGGATCTACGGATTGAGCATACTGGATCGGACTCCGATCCATTATGCTCAATCCGCAGATCCGATCCATCGTGCGGGGATTGTCGGCTTTCTTTACAACTTACCTTTTCGTGGAGCGGGTCCGGTGTCACCCCGTATAGGTTGCATGCCGACGCTCCCCGCAGGATGGTTCGGATCTGCGGATTGAGTCCGATCCATTATGCTCCCCAATCCGGAGATCCCATCCATCCTGCGGGGATCGGCGGCTTGCTTTACAACTTACCTTTTCGTGGAGGGGGTCCGGTGTCACCCGGTGCGGGCCGCACCCCCCGCACCTGCCTCGGGACACCACTGTCTGCAGAGCCTCTCAGCCCTGACCCAAATTTGATCCTATGAATATCACCCAGGCTGCTGAACCTTCTGACTGAGAAAATAATGAGCTAGCTCCCTCTAGCTAACTAGGAGGGTGCTACACCTGCATGGGTGTAAATGTACTCTCAGTATTTCTAAAAAAAATGTGTTCACTTAGCAGTTCACTTAGTAAAAGTGCATGTACATTCCTTCTGTGCCAATGGGTCAAAAAATGGATGCTATTAGGCCATTTCCTCTGCAGGTCGACTGTTTTTCATTGATTTAAAATGGAAAATGCCACATGTATCCACTAGATGGCACTAATTATCATAGACAATAGTGCCATCTAGTGGGCAAATGTGGCATTTTTATTTTAAATCAATGAAAGACATTCAACCAGCATAGGAAATCGTCTAGTACCAGCACAGAATGACTGTGCATGCTCTTTCACTGGGTGGATTGCTATGTATTTTTCTAAATACTTCCCTATGGCATTTGCACATTCCCATTTGTACCCCATGGGGCTTTTTCCTGACCTGGCTGGAAAAAGATTGGTGTTTGTTTACATACAGGGACGGACTGACAACTCATGGGTCCCCCCGGGCAATAGGAGATCATGGGGCCCCTGTGTCCTTGCCCAAACTCAAAAAAGCCTATGAAAAAGGTACCAGGGGCACCTCATGGGATCCCCTACTGACTTCGGGCCCTCAGGCAGTGCCCCAGTTTCCAAATGGTCAGTCCACCCCCGGTTACATAGTTAGTCTGGCTGAAAAAAAGACAAAAGTGTATACACTGTATATCAGCACCAGAAGCATCTGTGGTCCCTGTAAACATCTGCCTGACCCTGTAATCGTCCCGTTGTCACAAGGCCCCAGTGTTTGGCCCCGGTGCGGGGGCGAACTGACCATTCAGGCACTCGGGCACTGCCTGAGGGACCAGGGTCGGTTGGGGGCTCCATGAATACCTTTCAAAGGCTTTCTTGGGTGTGGTTTGAGTGTGGGCAAGGACACAGGGGCCCATGATCCCCTATTGCCCGGGGGCCCCATAAGTTGTCAGTCCGCCCCTGCCCTGGTGTTTAGCCCCCGGTACATGGGGCTCTGGTGTTTAGCTGCAGGCAGAGGGCCCAGGCTGCTGGTAGATTGGCAGACTCTATTAATGACCGGCAACTCCTGCGATGGGGCAGTGTACCTATCGGTGGCCGTACACCAGGCAGCAGACTGCTTACATTCCAGGTTCCTAGGTGCATAATGCCCTAAGCCTTCCTACCACTAGGTGCACCATCCAGCCCCGTCCCATTGGCCACTCAAAGAGTCTACTGGTAGCCTGTTCCCTCCACCCCCAGCTTAACGCCAGAGCCCCATGCACTGGGACTAAATACTAAGTCGGGGGTTGTACATAGACCCAGGAGCCGAGGTGGTCTTCCAGAGGACAGAACTCACATGGTCGAACTACCGTCTGATGAGTTTCGAGGGACACGCCCCCTTCATCAAAATACAGTTTTGCTCTGATAAAGGTGGCACGTCCCTCGAAACACGTCAGCTGAACGTTTGACCATGTGAGTTCTGTCCTCTGGAAGACCACCTCGGCTCGGGGTCTATGTACGGCGCTGGTTTTACCATTGGCTCCTGTGACTATACACTTATTGGTTTGTTTCAGTGGCGGAACTACTAGGAGTGCAAAGGTTGCACTGCCACCAGGGGCGGATTGACCATTGGAGCACTGGGGCACTGCCCGAGGGCCCGGGGTCAGTAGGGGGCCCCATGTAATGCCCCTGGTACCTTTGTTTTTTTTTTTTTTTATAGGCTATTTCGGGTGTGCTTTGAGTGTGGACGAGGACACAGGGGCCCCATGACCCCCTATTGCCCGGGGGCCCCATGAGTTGTCAGCTCACCTCTGACTGCCACTATACTGCCCTAACCTGCCACTGTGCTGCTCTAATCTGACACTGTACCACCCTAATCTGATGCTTTACCGCCCTAATCTGATACTTTACCACCCTAATCTGATACTTTACTGCCCTAATCTGATACTTTACCACCCTAGCCTGACACTATACTGATCTCAGTTATCGGTTGTGTGGGGAGGAGGAGATCTGCTGCCTGTGCCCAGGCTGTTTGCAGTGCAGGGATGGGAGTAGGTACTGTGCCCTGTCCTCTGCAGTGCCCCCTGTCCTCTGCCCTTCCAGCAGTGCCCCCTGTCCTCTGCCCTGCCAACAGTGACCCCTGTCCTCTGCCCTGCCAACAGTGACCCCTGTCCTCTGCAGTGCCCCCTGTCCTCTGCCCTTCCAGCAGTGACCCCTGTCCTCTGCCCTGCCAACAGTGACCCCTGTCCTCTGCCCTGCCAGCAGTGACCCCTGTCCTCTGCCCTGCCAGCAGTGACCCCTGTCCTCTGCCCTGCCAACAGTGACCCCTGTCCTCTGCCCCGTCATCAATGACCCCTGTCCTCTGCCCTGCCAACAGTGACCCCTGTCCTCTGCCCTGCCAGCAGTGACCCCTGTCCTCTGCCCTGCCAGCTGTGACCCCTGTCCTCTGCCCTTCTATAGTGACCCCTGTCCTCTGCCCTGCCAGCTGTGACCCCTGTCCTCTGCCCTGCCAACAGTGACCCCTGTCCTTTGCTCTGCCAGCAGTGCCCCGTCCGCTGCCCTGACATCAATGACCCCTGTCCTCTGCCCTGCCAACAGTGACCCCTGTCCGCTGCCCTGCCAACAGTGACCCCTGTCCGCTGCCCTGCCAACAGTGACCCCTGTCCACTGCCCTGCCAACAGTGACCCCTGTCCGCTGCCCTGCCAACAGTGACCCCTGTCCTCTGCCCTGTCAGCAATGACCCCTGTCCTCTGCCCTGCCATCAATGACCCCCTGTCCTCTGCCCTGCCAACAGTGACCCCTGTCCTCTGCCCTGCCAACAGTGACCCCTGTCCTCTGCCCTGCCATCAATGACCCCCTGTCCTCTGCCCTGCCAGCAATGACCCCTGTCCTCTGCCCTGCCAGCAGTGTCCCCTGTCCTCTGCCCTGCCAGCAATGACCCCTGTCCTCTGCCCTGCCAGCAATGACCCCTGTCCTCTGCCTTGCCAGCAATGACCCCTGTCCTCTGCCCTGCCAGCAGTGTCCCCTGTCCTCTGCCCTGCCAGCAATGACCCCTGTCCTCTGCCTTGCCAGCAATGACCCCCTGTCCTCTGCCCTGCCAGCAGTGCCCCCTGTCCTCTGCCGTGCTAGCAATGACCCCTGTCCTCTGCCCTGCCAGCAGTGACCCCTGTCTTCTGCCCCCCTGATATTTTTTACTGCACCCCCACATTGGACAGGCTAGATCCAGCCCTGCCTTCTAGTATAAATGGCTCCCCAAATCCCAGAGGGCCCCGGTGCAGTAGCTCCCTGTGCACAATCGGTATGTGCTCCCCGGTTAGCAATCTCTGTGTGGACTCCATAGCGGTACTGAACCCCCCCATGTACACGGATGGCTGCATGTGTATGGCGGCAGTCCGAATATTCCCCGATTGGAAGATCCTCCAAACATACAATCCCCGATTCCCTTGTCCAGGAATACACGGGGCCCGCTATCTTCGCCCCTCTTTGTTAGGTGAAGGTGGAATGTCCATTGTCCTTTCCCTGGCTTTCCCCTCCTTAATGTGGCGGCAGGTCCTGTGGCCCCCATTGCTATGCTAAGAAGGGCCCCCGATGGGGACGGGCTAATGGGCCCATTAGAGGCAGATGGTGAATTAATTGAAGTGGTTGTTCAAACACGTCCTGACAAGGGGAAGTTTCCTGTGAAACCCGTCAGGGGTCAGGCAGGAAGAGCGAGCGCGCCTAATGAAGAGCTGTCCTATCGAGCCGGGATTGGCCGAGATTGGCTGGGATTGGCTGTGATTGGCCGGGATTGACTTCGCTCGGCGCGTTTGTTTGCCGATTTTTCTGCGTGTCCAAAAATTCAAACACGCAAGGTGCAGGCGTCAGGGTTAAGGGCTTCTTCCCACCGTGTGTGCTGAGCGGCATTTGTCTGCACATGCCCATACAAGCACAACATGCAAACTCCATGCAGACAGTGCCCTGGTTGGGATTTGAACCAATGACAGGGCAGAAATGCTAACCACCGAGCCCAGCAATATATGCAGTAAGGGCATAAAATGGAAGCGAGGCCGAGGCTGGAACCTGAAGTAAAGGGAGAGGCTGATTGGCTGTCGCACGCCGAGGACCTGAACCGGGGATTCCGATTGGTTGCTCAGCACAGACTTCACAGTCTTAATTAGGTGACAATTATGCGCCCCTGAGGTGTTCTGTAGTTCAGCTGACAACACCGCCTCTGTGCCACTGAAATCACAAGCAGTTCTGTCAGTTCTGCCCAGTTCTCTTGTATTGAACTACAGAACTCTTCCCCAATCTCCTCATCTCTGTAACATAAGGGGGAGGTGTTCTGTAGTTCAGCTGACAACACTGCCTCTGTGCCACTGAAATCCCTAGCAGCATGGTCAGCCCTGCTTAATTTTCAGGACCACAGAACTCTTTACTCTCTCCTCATCTCTGTAACATCAGGGGTGGTGTTCTGTAGTCCAGTGAACAATCCTAACTCTGTGCTACAGAAATCCCAAGTGGCATTGTTAGCCCTGCTGATTACTGCACTACAGAACTCTTCCTCAATCTCCTCATCCCTGTAACATAAGGGGAGGTGCTCTGTAGTCCAGCTGACAATCCAACCTCTTTGCTAGTGAGTGTTTTCAGCCCTGCCCAGTTCTCTCAGGACCACAGAACTCTTTCCTTTCTCCTCATCTCTGTAACATAAGGGGAGGTGTTCTGTAGTCCAGAGGATAATCCAGCCGTTTTGCTAGTGCATGATTTCAGCCCTGCCCAGTTCTCAGGACTACAGAACTCTTTCCTCTCTCCTCATCTCTGTAGCATAAGAGGAGGTGTTCTGTAGTCCAGCTGACAATCCAGCCTCTTTGCTAGTGCATGATTTCAGCCCTGTCCAGTTCTCTGGACCACAGAACTATTTACTCTCTCCTCATCTCTGTAACAGTCTCTGTAACATCAGGGGAGGTGTTCTGTAGTCCAGCAGACAATCCTACCTCTGTGCCACTGAAATCCCAAGCGGCGCTGTTAGCCCTGCTGAGTACTGCACTACAGAACTCTTCCTCAATCTCCTCATCCCTATAACATAAGGGAGGTGCTCTGTAGTCCAGCTGACAATCCAGCCTCTTTGCTAGAGTGTTTTCAGACCTGCCCAGTTCTCTGGTCCACATAATTCTTTCCTCTCTCCTCATCCCTGTAACATAAGGGGAGGTGTTCTGTAGTCCAGCGGACAATCCTACCTTCACTACAGAACTCTTCCCCAATCTCCTCATCCCTGTAACATAAGGGGAGGTGCTCTGTAGTCCAGCTGACAGCCTCTTTTGCTTTCCTCTCTCCTCTTCTCCCGGAACATCAGCGAGGACCCCCGATGGAACAGTTGATGGGCTGTAGGTTCCGGGTGCGTCCTTTGTCTCCTGTAGGCTCCCCCCCCCTCCCATTAGGTCCATGTCGGCCCATCAATGATTTGGAGGGGTCAGGATGGCTCCCATTGTCTTCGGCCCTTTCAGTAGGCCGACCCTCGCCCGCCAGTACCAGCTGTTCTTTTCAGCTCGCCCGTCCCCGGAACCCTGCCAAGTGGCCGAGCACGAGCCACAGAAACGATCGAACAAAGAAGAGAATCCCCCCCCGCCGCCGATCGTCAGGGTCCCCCCCCAATCTCATTAGCATTTCTGACTCTCATTTGCATACATTAACAGCAGAGCGATTCCAGCTGGGGGTCCCTATATAAGTCGACCTATCCCGCGTTCTTCGCTGCCTTCCACGCGGCCCCCCTCTGGACGAGGTGTCATTGTCCCCGGGGTTCGTACGGTCCAAGTGTCTCCTTCCATCCTCCTCCTCCTCCTCCGCCGGCCTTCTTTTAGGTTTGAATTTTGTTTTATTCGTCTTCTTGCAGGAAATCGATAAAATGGAGCAACTGGAGAGCAAACTGCATTCGTACAGCATGTTCGGCCTCCCCAAGCTGCCCCAGCAGTTGTGCTTCGATCAGGATTCCTGGGAGGAGGACGAGGATGACACCAGCCTGAGCCTGGAGGACAGCTGGCAGCAGATCATTGAAGTCCCGGAGGTAAAAAAAAAAGGAGGAAATCAAAAAATATATATAAAAAATATATAAAGTAACAATGTTGTAACGTCTCTGCTACGCAATCGATACAATTGACCATTTAAAAAAAAAAAATAAACCAATCGAGCAAATCTGGGCTTTATTGTGATTTTCTGTTCAAATGAAAAAACGTAAAAAAAAAAAGTAGTAATAGTATAAGAATAAATAAATGGCAAATAAATACAAAATCAAAATAAATAAACACCGGAACAAAAAAAACAAACAAAAAAGACATAATACATTATTGGTATTATTATTTTATTTCTTCTTCTTCTTTCCTTACCCTAACAAAATGATAAAAAATTATTATTATTTTAATAATAATAAAAAAAAACTGATGGAAAAAAACTAAAAAAAAAACCTAGAAAAACATAGCAACAAATGATGCTATTGGCTAAAAGAAAAAAATAGAGGAAATCAATGTATAAAAAAATATATAAAGTAACAATGTTGTAACGTCTCTGCTACGCAATCGATACAATTGACCATTTAAAAAAAAATTACAGATCGAGCAAATCTGGGCTTTATTGTGATTTTCTGTTCAAATGAAAAAATGTAAAAAAAAAAAAAATAGTGTCCCTAAACTTGAAGAATTTCACCAAAAACCTTGATAATGTGATGGCAGATCATCCATAAATATATTTTCGGAAGCGAAAACTCAGCAACACACCGATCCTCATCGATCAAATAACAGGATCAGAAACTTTGTAATTTAATCGGAAATCCACTTCTCCAAAAGAAAAGACCACCTTCAAACGTATCCATGGGGGGAATTGCCAAGCACTCGGGAGAAACAGAAAGACTTCATGGTGCAATATTATAAAAACCAATTCCTTTATTAGGTACTCATTGCACTTACTCAAGAGGTGTCCCAGCCGACACCAGCATCAACAGCATAACAGCAATCACATAAAAGAGCCTGGCTACTCAGCACATGCGCAATAGCTGGCAGCAAAAACGTAATGACGTCACATCAATCAAGCTCCGCCCTACGCGTTTCGTCATCGAAACGTGAGGACGTCGTGCAATGAGTACCTAATAAAGGAATTGGTTTTTATAATATTGCACCATGAAGTCTTTCTGTTTCTCCCGAGTGCTTGGCAATTCCCCCCATGGATACGTTTTGAAGGTGGTCTTTTCTTTTGGAGAAGTGGATTTCCGATTAAATTACAAAGTTTCTGATCCTGTTATTTGATCGATGAGGATCGGTGTGTTGCTGAGTTTTCGTTTCCGAAAATATATTTATGGATGATCTGCCATCACATTATCAAGGTTTTTGGTGAAATTCTTCAAGTTTAGACACTTTTTTTGCACGAAAAGTTTGTTTGCACTTTAAAGTTTTTTTGCACTTTTTTGTGGTATTGGCATATATATTTTTCTGGACTTATGATTTGATGATTTTTTATATATATATTTTTTATATATACATATACATTTACTAGCGCAAATTATTTATTAATTGGTACACTTTATATATGGTGGTTTTTTGCAGCTGGTACATTATTAGTAAGTTATATAATTTTGACCATAGGCGCTATTATTTATTTTTCTTAAAAAAAAAAAAAAAAAAAAAAAATAGTAATAGTATAAGAATAAATAAATGGCAAATAAATACACATATAAATAAAAAATCAATATAAATAAACACCGGAACAAAAAAACAAACCAAAAATTTATAATAAATTATTGGTATTATTATTATTTTATTTTTTCTTCTTCTTTCCTTACCCTTACAAAATTATAAAAAAAATTATTATTATTAATAATATTAACAAAAACTAAAAGCTGATGAAAAAAACCCTAGAAAAACATAGCAACAAATGATGCAAAAGATGATATATTTCTCTATTGGCTAAAAAAAAAAATTGAGGAAATCAATGTATAAAAAAAATATATAAAGTAACAATGTTGTAACGTCTCTGCTACACAATCGATACAATTGACCATTTTCAAAAAATCGATCGGGCAAATCTGGGCTTTATTGTAGATGGCCAAATGTCCTCTGAGGCCACCAGGAATAAGGCCCCATTCACACCTGAGAGTTTCGTAGCTCGAAGCTCCAGAACGCTCAGGGGAAAAAAAAAAAAAACAATATTCCTCTATGGAGACGGTTCACGTCTCCACTCCAAGTCGCCTGTGCAATTTTCTGCTGAAATGAAAAAATGTTTAAAAAAAAAAATAGTAATAGTATATGAATAAATAAATGTCAAATAAAATAAATATGCATATAAACAACAAATCAAAATAAATAAATAAACACCGGAACAAAAAAAAGGCATTAATAATAAATTATTGGTATTATTATTTTATTTCTTCTTTCCTTACACAAACAAAATTATAAAAAAATTAATAATATTAATAGCAAAAACTAAAAGCTGATGAAAAAAAATAAAAAAAAAACTGTTAAAGCTAGCAACAAATGATGCAATAGATGATATATTTCTTTAATGGCTAAAAACCCCCCCAAAAAAGTAGAGGAAATAAATGTATAAAAAAAATATTAAATAACAATGTTGTAACGTCTTTGCTACGCAATCGATACAATTGACCATTTTCAAAAAAATAACCGATTGAGCAAATCTGGGCTTTATTGTAGATGGCCGAATGTCCTCCTGAGGCCACCAGGAATAAGGCCCCATTCACACCTGGGAGTTTCGTAGCGCGAAGCTCCAAAACGCTGAGGGGGGGAAAAAAAATCGATATTCCTCTATGGAGACGTCTCCACTCCAAGTCGCCTGAAGCAGAACGCCTGAAGCTCAAAAAAGTTTTGAGTTACTTTTGTAGCTCAATATGGGCAGATGTGAACGTTTTTGGCATGTTTTTATTCCCATAGAAAAGAATGGAAGCGTGCGATTGGCGAGTTTTTGCGAGCGTTTTGTGCAATTTTCTGCTCAAATGAAAAAATGTAAAAAAAAAAAAATAGTAATAGTAAATGAATAAATAAATGTCAAATAAATAAAATAAATACACATAGAAATAAAAAAAACAAACAAAAAGACATTAATAATAAATTATTGGTATTCTTTTATTTCTTCTTCTTTCCTTACCCTAACAAAAAACAAAATTATTATTATTAATAATCATAATAACAAAAACTAAAAACTGATAAAAAAAAAACATAGAAAAACATAGCAACAAATGATGCAATGGATGATATATTTCTCTATTGGCAAAAAAAAAAAAAAAAAAAATAGAGGAAATGAATGTATAAAAAAATATATAAAGTAACAATGTTGTAACGTCTCTGCTACGCAATCGATACAATTGACCATTTTCAAAAAAATAACCGATCGAGCAAAATCTGGGCTTTATTGTAGATGGCCGAATGTCCTCTGAGGCCACCAGGAATAAGGCCCCATTCACACCTGAGAGTTCTGTAGCTCGAAGCTCCAAAACGCTCAGGGGGAAAATAAAAAATCGCTATTCCTCTATGGAGACGGTTCACGTCTCCGCTCCGAGCCGCCTGAAGCTCAAAAAAGTTTTGGAGCTACTTTTGTAGCTCAATATGGGCAGAGGTGCACGTTTTTAGCATGTTTTTATTCCCATAGAAAAGAATGGAAACGTGCGAGCGCTTTGTGCGATTTTTTCTGCTCAAATGAAAAAAAAAAATAATAGTCTATGAATAATTAAATTTTAAATAAACTAAATATGCATATAAATAAAAAATCAATATAAATAAATAACCACCCGAACAAAAAAAAAGACATTTATAATAAATGATTGGTATTATTATTTTATTTCTTCTTCTTTCCTTACCCTAACAAAAAACAAAATGATAAAAAATGAATAATAATATTAATAATAATAACAAAAGCTAAAAGCTGATGGGAAAAAAACAAAACAAAACAGAAAACATACCAACAAATGATGTTTCTACTGGCTAAAAAAGAAAGGCAAAGCTCAAAAATGGCTAAAAATGCGCAAAAAAACGCTGGAAAAAGCATTTTTGCTTTGTTTCTGGTGCGTTTTTTTTCACGTGACTAAAAAAAACGCACCAAAAACGAGACTGTGGGTGCGGTTTTTTTTTATACATTTTTGGCACTTTTTGGTGCGTGTTCCATTCATTTCAATAGGGAGATGCATTTTCGATACATTTTTTGCAACATTTTCGGTGCGCAACTGACCCACAAATAGCTGTTGTGAAGAGCTCCAAAAAATTGAATAGTCGTGCATTTTTCTTCCGCTGTTGGCAAGGCGAATACGGTAGAAAAATTTGATTTGTGAAAAAGCTGCTTCATATAACTGCGACTCGGATCGCTATGTTGGGAGAGAAACCAGAAATGAACACTTGCGCCCCCTGTTGTTGTGTCTTCCATTAGACTTTGTCCAGACGTCAGTGCCACCAGCAGGAGGCGATCTGGGAGCTGATCCACACCGAAGCCACCTACATCAAGAAGCTGAAAGTCATAACAGACGTGAGTACCGGGATCAGGGGGAATAAGGGGGAATCAGAGGATCAGGGGGGATCAGGGATAATCTGGGGGAATCAGGGGATTGGGGGGAATCAGGGGATCGGGGATATCAGGGGGAATTGGGGGATCAGGGGAAATCTAGGGATCAGGAGGAATCGGGGAGATCAGGGGGAATTGGGGGATCAGGGGAAATCAGGGGATCAGGGATAATCTGGGGGAATCAGGGGATTGGGGGGAATCGGGGGATCAGGAGAAATCAGGGGATCGAGGAGATCAGGGGGACTGGGGGGATCGGGGAGATCAGGGGGGATCAGGAGGAATCAGGGGATCAGGGAGATCAGGGGGAATCGGGGGATCAGGGGGAATTGGGGAATCTAGGGATCAGGAGGAATCGGGATCGGGGAGATCAGGGGGGATCAGGGGGAATTGGGGGATCAGGGGAAATCAGGGGATCAGGGATAATCTGCGGGAATCAGGGGATTTGGGGGGATCGGGGAGATCAGGGGGAATCGGGGAGATCAGGGGGAATTGGGGCATCTGGGAACTGATCCACACCGAAGCCACCTACATCAAGAAGCTGAAAGTCATAACAGACGTGAGTACCGGGATCAGAGGGATCGGGGGGATCAGAGGGAATCAGAGGATCAGAGGGGATCAGGGGGAATCGGGGGATCAGGGATAATCTGGGGGAATCGGGGGATCAGGAGGAATCAGGGGATCAGGGGGAATCGGGGGATCGGGGAGATCAGGGGGAATTGGGGATGTCATGGGGAATCAGAGGATCAGGGGGGATCAGGGAAATCTAGGGATCAGGAGGAATCAGGGGATCGGGGAGATCAGGGGGAATCAGAGGATCAGGGGGGATAAGGGGGAATTGGGGGATCAGGGGGAATCGGGGGATCAGGGATAATCTGGGGGAATCGGGATTGGGGGGGATCGGGGAGATCAGGGGGGATCGGGAGGATGAGGGGCATCAGAGAAATAGGAGGGATCGAGGATCACATGGGCAATGTAGGCTCCTGCCTAGGTCACCACTGCACCCTGAGTCTATGTTGGGGGAAGCTGCCCCTGCAGGTCTGGGACAGCCTCAACATAATATACAGATAAAGATTGAACATTGGTGAAAAGTCTTCACATTTCCCGATTCTCGTGACGATGAGTCTTGTATTGATCATTATTATTCATATATTGTGTCCTCTCTCTTTAGCTCTTCCTGTGTTGTCTGCTGAATCTCCAGGAATCAGGACTTCTGTGTGAGGTATGAAAACATGTGTGTGTGTGTGTGTATATATATATAAAATACACTCAGCACAGGGATGGTGGGAACCCCTCATAATGGGCACAGCGGGTGTACAGACCCGGGAACTCAGCACAGGGATGGTGGGAACCCCTCATAATGGACACAGCGGGTTTACAGACCCAGGAACTCGGCACAGGGATGGTGGGAACCCCTCATAATGGGCACAGCGGGTTTACAGACCCAGGAACTCAGCACAGGGATGGTGGGAACCCCTCATAACGGGCACAGCGGGTTTACAAACCCAGGAACTCAGCACAGGGATGGTGGGAAGGCCTCATAATGGGCACAGCGGGTTTACAGCCCCAGGAACTCAGCACACGGATGGTGGGAACCCCTCATAATGGGCAGAGCGGGTGTCATTAATATGAATCTCTCGGTTCTGGTGACAGGTGGAGCCGGAGAAGCTGTTCAGCAATGTGCAGGAGATCATCCAGCTGCATCGATCCCTCTGGGGGAACATCATGCTGCCGGTGCTGGGCAAGACGAGGAAGACCAGGAGCCTGCTGAACCCCATGGACTTCCAGAAAGGATTTAAAATGGTTTGTACTAAAAGGACGATTCAAATATTAGTCAGAATCACCCGCTGGATCTGATTGGTTATTTTCATGCTGTAGCAGTTAAAGTGCGATATAATGTGTGCAAATAAAAAATCAATACATTTAATACGTGTAAAATAGCCCCCCCACCCAAAAAAAAAAATTTAAAAAAAAAAAAATATATATATATATATTATATATATATATATTTTTTTTTTAATTATTATTTTATTTATTTATTTTACTCTGTGTCAGCTTTACATAAAAAATACATTATATAGTGTGTGCAAAAAAAAAAAATCAATACATTTTAAAAAATAAAATATATGTAAAATATCCCCACCCCAAAAAAATCTCTCTCTCTCTCTCTCACCCCCCCCCCTCTCTCCCCCCCTCTCTCTCCCCCCCATCTCTCCCTCTCTCACCCCCCTCTCTCTCCCCCCCCTCTCTCTCTCTCTCCCTCTCCCCCCCCTCTCTCTCCCTCTCTCACTCTCTCTCCCCCTCTCCCTCTCTCTCACTCTCTCCCCCTCTCTCTCCCCCCCCTCTCTCTCTCTCCCCCCTCTCCCCCCCCTCTCTCTCTCTCCCTCTCTCTCTCTCTCTCATAATTTATTTTTTCTTTCTTCCTATGTGTCAGCTTTACATAAAATAAAAAATACATTGTATTCTTTATTCTTTTCAGTTTGAATCTCTCTTTAAGCCGTATATCCGATATTGCATGGAGGAGGAGGGCTGCATGGAGTACATGAGGAACCTGCACCGGGACAATGAATTGTTTAGGGCCTATGTGACGGTAAGTGCGCGTTTGACTGTTGCGGGCAGAGGCACCTGATAACCAGTACGGGGATCTATGCCTAAAACATTTGTTGGACGAATGTCACAAGCATTTGCCCGGCCCTCACGAGATTTGGCTGTAGTTTGCCCAGTACAGTGATTTCCTTTGGTCGGCAGCTCCATCTAGTGGCCATAACAGGCATAATTTCCTGAAATACCTCAACTGGGCAAATACTGCATTATGGCCACTAGGCGGAGCTGAGGATCATAGGAAATCCCTCTATGAAACAAAATACAGCAGAATTAGTGAGGGCTTTAAGCTGTTCATACACTGCAGGAAGATTCGTTCTGTGTAAATTGGGCAAAATCAAATTCCCTCTTTTATTTCCTCTACAGGTCGAATATTATTCATTCATAAAAAAATAGAATGGTTGACGGAAATATTGCATTATGGCCACTAGATGGAGGATCCGAGAAAATGAATACTGATCCTCAGCATCATCTACTGGCCATAATCGGGGGGGGGGGGAGCGAGAGGGGGGGGGAGATGGGGAAGAGAGCGAGAGAAGAGAGGGAAGAGTGAGAGGGGGGAGAGCGAGAGAGAGAGGGGGGGGGGGAGAGAGAGAGGGGGGAGAGAGAGAGATGGGGTGAGAGGGGAAAGAGAGAAAGAGAGGGGGGGGAGAGGGGGGGGAGAGAGAGGGGGGGAGAGAGAGAGATGGGGTGAGAGAGGGAGAAAAGAGAGAATCATATATACATACACACACTTCTCTCACTCTCTCATGGGGGAGGGGGGGGGGGGGTGCAACATTTCTGGGTTGCCTAGGGCAGCACAAAATCTAAATACACTACTGGCCATAATGTGGTATTTTCCAGAACCACTTTTTTCGGAATGAATAACATTCGACCTATAGAGGAGAACAACTGATTTTCCTCCATTTGCACAGAGCTGATGTAGGAGCAGTTTTGTTGGATGAATTTTTATAAGCTTTATGGGTTTATTCTGCATCCCCCGCCTGCCTGCGTGGCCCTACTTTGTGGGAGGAGCCTAAGTGGCGGAGTGCAGAAGCCAGTTTACTAATCGTTGCGCCTTTTGCCTGTCCCCCGTGCAGTGGGCCGAGAAACACAAACAGTGCAATCGCCTGAAGCTGAGCGACATGTTGGTGAAGCCGCATCAACGTCTCACCAAATACCCCCTGCTGCTGAAATCCATCCTGAAGAAGACGGACGACCCTCAAGTCAGAGAGTCCATCATTGATATGGTAATGGCTTTGCCAAGTACAGTAATAGAATACAATGTAGCGATGGAACTCTGAGAAGTTATATTTCCTATCTGGATGATCAGGATGCCATGATAGGATGGAGGAACATCTGCTCCTCTCTTTCCTTCGTTAGTGAAGGATGATAGGATGGAGGAACATCTGCTCCTCTCTTTCCTTCGTTAGTGAAGGATGATAGGATGGAGGAACATCTGCTCCTCTCTTTGGTTCGTTAGTGAAGGATGATAGGATGGAGGAACATCTGCTCCTCTCTTTGATTCATTAGTGAAGGATGATAGGATGGAGGAACATCTGCTCCTCTTTGGTTCATTAGTGAAGGATGATAGGATGGAGGAACATCTGCTCCTCTCTTTGGTTCATTAGTGAAGGATGATAGGATGGAGGAACATCTGCTCCTCTCTTTCCTTCGTTAGTGAAGGATGATAGGATGAAGGAACATCTGCTCCTCTCTTTGGTTCAGTAGTGAAGGATGATAGGATGGAGGAACATCTGCTCCTCTCTTTGGTTCGTTAGTGAAGGATGATAGGATGGCGGAACATCTGTTCCTCTCTTTGGTTCGTTAGTGAAGGATGATAGGATGGAGGAACATCTGCTCCTCTCTTTGGTTCGTTAGTGAAGGATGATAGGATGAAGGAACATCTGCTCCTCTCTTTGGTTCGTTAGTGAAGGATGATAGGATGGAGGAACATCTGCTCTTCTCTTTGGTTCATTAGTGAAGGATGATAGGATGGCGGAACATCTGCTCCTCTCTTTGGTTCATTAGTGAAGGATGATAGGATGGAGGAACATCTGCTCCTCTCTTTGGTTCATTAGTGAAGGATGATAGGATGGCGGAACATCTGCTCTTCTCTTTGGTTCATTAGTGAAGGATGATAGGATGGCGGAACATCTGCTCTTCTCTTTGGTTCATTAGTGAAGGATGATAGGATCTCATTTTTTGTTTGACGCCTTTACAGCTTCGATGGGAATTATGTTCACTTTATTTCTCCTGTAATGTGATGATTGTCGTGTTGTCACCGCAGATAAACTCAGTTGAGCGATTCATCAATCACGTGAACTCGAGGATGCGCCAACGGCAGGAGCAGCAGCGACTGGCGGCCATTATCAGCCGCATTGACTCCTACGAAGCTGTGGAGAGCAGTACAGATGAGGTGGACAAGGTAGAGATGTTCATCTAAGTAAATGTATTTATTATTATTATTATTATTATAAATATATAAAGAGATTCAATACAGCAACGATACAATTTAATACAAGAGGGATAGGAGGGCCCTGATCCTGGGAGCTTACAATCTATTATATGGCCAAAAGCATGTTGACACCCTCCAAGTTATTGAGTTCGGGTATTTCCAGTGAAGGGTATTGTTAATTGGAGACAACTGGGCTCTTCCAACCTTGTGGTAACAGTTTGGTGCAGACCCTTTCCTGTTCCACCATGACTGTGCCCCTGTGTACAAAGCCAGCTCCATAAAGACATGGCTTGACCAGTTTGTACCACCACCATAAAGACATGGGTTGACCAGTTTGTACCACCTCCATAAAGACATGGGTTGACCAGTTTGTACCACCACCATAAAGACATGGGTTGATCAGTTTGTACCACCTCCATAAAGACATGGGTTGACCAGTTTGCACCACTTCCATAAAGACATGGCTTGACCAGTTTGTACCACCTCCATAAAGACATGGGTTGACCAGTTTGTATCACCACCATAAAGACATGGGTTGACCAGTTTGCACCACTTCCATAAAGACATGGCTTGACCAGTTTGTACCACCTCCATAAAGACATGGGTTGACCAGTTTGTACCACCTCCATAAAGACATGGGTTGATCAGTTTAGAGCAGCTCCATAAAGACATGGTTTGACCAGTTCGCACCACTTCCATAAAGACATGGTTTGACCAGTTCGCACCACTTCCATAAAGACATGGGTTGACCAGTTTGCACCACTTTCACAAAGACAAGGGTTGACCAGTTTGTACCACCTCCATAAAAACATGGGTTGACCAGTTCACAACACTTCCAAAAACACATGGGTTGAGCAGTTTGTACCACCTCCATAAAGACATGGGTTGACCAGTTTAGAGCAGCTCCATAAAGACATGGGTTGACCAGTTCATGCCACTTCCATAAAGACATGGGTTTGAACAGTTTGTACCACCTCCATAAAGGCATGGGTTGACCAGTTTGTACCACCTCCATAAAGACATGGTTTGACCAATTTAGAGCAGCTCCATAAAGACATAGTTTGACCAGTTCGTACCTCTTCCACAAGGACAAGGGTTGACCAGTTTGTACCACCTCCATAAAGACATGGGTTGACCAGTTTAGAGCAGCTCTATAAATACATGGGTTGACCAGTTTTTACCACCTCCATAAAGAGTTGACCAGTTTAAAGCAGCTCCCTAAAGACATGGTTTGACCGGAGTGTACAACCTCCATAAAGACGGGTTGACCAGTACGCGCCACTTCCATAAAGACATGGGTTGACCAGTTTGTACCACCTCCATAAAGAGTTGACCAGTTTAGAGCAGCTCCCTAAAGACATGGTTTGACCGGGGTGTACAACCTCCATAAAGACATGGGTTGACCAGTTCGCACCACTTCCATAAAGACATGGGTTGACCAGTTTGTACCACCTCCATAAAGACATGGGTTAACCAGTTTAGAGCAGCTACATAAAGACAAGAGTTGACCAGTTTAGAGCAGCTCCATAAAGACATGATTTGACCGGTTTGTACCACCTCCATAAAGACATGGGTTGACCAGAATGGACTAGCTCCATAAAGACATGGTTGGACCAGTTTGGTGTGGAGGAACTCGAGTGTCCTCTGCACAGAGCCCTGACATCAACCCTAATGAACGCCTTTGGGATGAAATGCATCGTGAGCCAGGTCTTCTCATTCAACATCAGTACCTGACCTCACAAATGCTCTTTTGCATGACCGGAGTTCTAGCCTTCCTCTGCACTTCCAGGCTCATGGCAACGTTCTTGGAAAGGTCCTTTTCAATTTCAACAAGACTGTGCTTATAGCCAGCTCCATAAAGACATGGTTTGAGCAGTCTGGTGTGGAGGAAGTCGAGTGTCCTGCACACAGCCCTAACCTCAACCCTACTGAGCAGCTTTAGGATACATTTTATTGCCAATGGTGGGCCAGGTCTTCTCATCTCACATCAGTACTTGACCTCACAAATGCCCTTTTGGATGACCGGGGTTATAGCCTTCCATCCTTATGGCACCAGTTTTAGGTTCTTTTCAATTTCAACATGACTGCTAAAAGCCAGCTCCATAAAGACATTGCTTGACCAGTTTGGTATGGAGGAACTCGAATGTCCTGCACAGAGCCCCAGCCTCAACTCTACTGAACACCTTGGGGATGAATTGGAACTCCGGTGGTGAGCCAGGTCTTCCCATCCAAAATCAGCACCTGACCTCACAAATGTTCTTTTGGATGACCTGGGGTTATAGCTAGAGATGAGCGAATTATTCAAAAATTCGGTTTGGCTGATTCGCCGAATTCGCCGAAAAAATTCGCTTCGAGCCGAATATATTCGCTGCGAATTTAACTTATAAAAAGGGTGTTTCTAGGCTTCAGAGAGCCTTTATATTAGTGCAGAACACTGTACCTTTAATTTAAATGCCCTTGGAGTCTGCTGGGGAAGAGAAATAATACTGTCAGTCAGTATGACATGCAGATGAGTGCCGTCGATCTTAGAATCACCGCACACTTCACTCATTTGGGCAGTCACACTGCTGCGACCCTGCTGCCTCCTGGGCAACCCACCGACTGTTTTGCTCACTGCCAAGCTGGCACCCTCTTCTCCCTGATGATGCGGAAGCAATAGCCTGATGACGACGAGGCTGCCAAGTGCGATCAACCTCCTCATCATCATGAATTAGGGTCTCCGCGTCACTACTAGCCCCCTCGGCTGCGTGTGGGTCAGGAGACAGACCTGTCTCTAGACCGGCTACCGAGCCACTCTCCTCGCCAGTACTTCTTCGCCTGGCTGCTGAAGAGGCGGATGTCTCCCCCCGTTCCTGACCGCCCTCTGTTAGCTCTTCCTCACTGTACAGTGGGGCTGAGCCCACAGCATGCGATACTTCGCTTGGTGAGGGAACAGCAAAGGACAGGGGCAGGTCGAGGACACGTGATTTCAGTGGGCTTGCTCCCGGGCCATGCCAACTAACGGTTGTGTCTGACGTACCCACCGACCGTTGGCTGTAGGTGTCAGAGGTGACCTGGGAAGAGGAAGACGACCGAGCCAACCAATCGATGACGGCAGGGTTGTCGGTGGAGACACGACCGCTGGATGACACCGGGAGCACTGGCCTCTGGCTGCGACTAGTGCTGCCTCGACCCCTTCCTCTGCTGCCACGTCTGCTCGCTCCTGAAACATTGCCTCCTCTGCCACTCCTCTGCGTGTTGTCTGACATACTCTTTAATTCAATAAGCACCCCAAAAATAAAACCGGATTTAACTCTTTGAACGTACAATAGTGGTTGTGAAGCAGAAAGTCAGTTTATTTAGCACAATCGGTCAATTGCAGCTTGCCGTTGGCTGGAAACTGTACGTTTATGTCACTGGAATGCACTAATCACCCAAAAAATTTTACCGCCACCCGGCGTGTAAATGGATCTAACTCTTTGAACGTACAATAGTGGTTGTGAAGCAGAAAGTCAGTTTATTGTACACAATCGGCAAACTGCAGCACCAACTGTGCACGACAGCCACCAAAAAAAAAAAGGGTGTATGTCACTTTAAATTTTCGATTCTTTGATAGCTGTGGCCCTAAGTAACGATTCTGTGTCCCTGAGTAACGATTCTGTGTCCCTGAGTAACGATTCTGTGGCCCTAAAGTCTCTGTGGCCCTAACTCTGTCCCTTAATACACACAGGTCTGTCTCTCTTGAATGACCGGAGGCTAATGGAGAATTCTAAGATGGCCGCGATTTATAGCTCCACCATTACACAGTGCTGGCTGGCTGCTGATTGGCTAATGCGATCACATGTCATGAATGCATTATGGGTCAGCGCGCCTTGTCTGCGCGCCTTCCCAGAGATCCCCGCCCCATCTTCTCTGTCCATTTTCTCCGTCGCCACACATGTCGCCGCCATTTTTGGGAAAAATCGATTCGTGCATCCGAAGTTTGCTAATCTTCGGATTCGTCGCGAATAGAATTTTTCCAAATCTTCGGAACGAATTCCACTTCGTCATGTTCGATTCGCTCATCTCTAGTTATAGCCTTCCATCCTCACGGCACCAGTCTTAGAAAGGTCATTTTCAGTTCTAACATGACTGTGCACAAAGATATGGACATATCTTTGGTTTGACAAGTTTGATGTGAGGGAACTCAAGTGTCCTTCACAGAGCCCTGACCTCAACCCTACTGAGCACCCAGAATTGTGAACCAGGTCTTCTCACCCAACATCAGTACCTGACTTCACAAATGTTCTTTTTGTCTGAATGGGCTCAGATTTCTTTAGACCTCTTCCAAAACCTTGTAGAAAGCCTTCCCCCAAAGAGTGGAGGCTGTTGTAGCCCCACAAAGGTCGGCCAAATCCTATTACTGGCTATGGTGTCGGAATGGAAAGTCCAACAAGCTCACATAGGTGTGAAGGTCAGGTGTCCACTAACTGTTGGCTCTTCTAGTGTAGAACATTCACTTTAATATATGTATACAATGGACTCATTGTAACAATTCATTCTTCAATAATGATGGCGGCTGTTCTTACTTGGTGTAGATTTTGAAGGAGTTCTGCAAGTTGGATCTGACGACACCCATGATTGGGACGTCTCCGGAGGACACAAGGCAGCTACTGCTGGAAGTGCTGAGGCAGCCTGAAGATGAAGGAAGGAAAAGACAGCAAGGTGATTATTATTGCGATTTACATATATATATGTTACGTACCGTACTTGTGACATAAATTACGTACAAATAAATGATTAAAGAGCATCGGTGTGCTGTACTCTACGGTAGCCAATCAGAATGTTGCTTTAGGTACTGTAGATCATAGTTGCCACTGCATTGCTGCATCTGCACTGGAAGGGTTAATTGCTCATCTTGTCTAAGGGAGAGTAAAATTACTTTTTACTTTCCTGATCCTCTTGTTTCCCAGGTGGTGGACCACCCTTTGCCGTCATCAAGTCCAATGCAGGGCTATGAGCCCTGCATCAGTGTTGATGGTGTCAGGACCTTAGATCACTGGAGCATGGGGGGAAGACACCGTGGGGACCGGTGTGGAGGATTCTTTTCTATGTCTCCTCAGGGGCGGACTGACAACTCATGGGGCCCCCGGGCAATAGGGGATCATGGGGTCTCTGTGTCCTTGCCCAAACTCAAAAAAGCATATGAAAAAGCCAATGAAAGGTACCAGGGGCATCTCATGGGGCCCCCTACTGACCCTGGGCCCTCGGGCAGTGCCTCAGTGCTTGAATGGTCAGTCCGCCCCTGCGTCTCCTAGACCTAAAGTGCTTCTATAGGCTGAAGGTCTAAACCTTCACAGCACCCCCCCCCCCCTCCCTTGCACACCTGAGCACAATCCCGTTCCAGAGATGTGCATGAGAGCAGAAGCTCTCCCGGGGATCTGCCTCCTCATTGGCTGAGACACAGCAGCCGAAACCATTCCCACATGGAAGAAAAATATATTTTAAATATATTTTTAAAATATTCTTCCCAAATACATTGACATATATGTGAAATACTACAATTTTGGCCGTATTCAATATATTTATATATATATATATGTATGTTTGTTGAAATGCGTTTTTTATATATTTACAAAATATATGAAAAATATTTTTTAAAAATATGTTTTAAAATGTATTCTTCAGATTTTTTTTTGACATATAAAAATGTTATTTTAACATATATATTTGTAAATTGATTCCAAAAAATTTAGATTAAACATATTTTTTATATATTACAAAATATATGAAAAATCTTTTTAAAATATATATATTTTTTAAATATATGCTTCAGTTTTTTTAACAATATAAAAAAGTCATTTTAACATATATTTGTAAATGCCTTCCAAAAATGTAGATTAAATTTATTTTTAAAGACATACAGTATATTTGAAAATTTTGTAATATATAAAAAATGCATCTCAACATACAGTATATGTGTGTGTATATATATATATATAAAAATTTATTTTTTTTAAATATATTGAATATGGCCAAAATTGTAGTATTTCAAATATATGTCAATATATTTGGGAAGAATATATTAAAAATAAATTTTTCTTCCATGTGGGTTGGCTGACCACAGTTATTGAGGAGGGAGTGGGAGGCGGGGCCGAGCCTCACTCTGTGTGTCTCATAGACACACAACGGTGGCTCAGGAGCGAGCATGCACGTGTGCCCCCAGAACAAGCAGCTTGCTCTGGGGTCACTCAGCAGGGGGGAGGGGCCTAGAGCGCTGTCGGGGGACCCGAGAAGAGGAGGATCGGGGGTAAGTATAATATGTTTGTTGTTTAAAAAAAAAATCTGAACCTTTACAATCCCTTTAAACGAACAGTTAACCCTTGCAGTGCGAGGAATTTTCGACCTTCATGGAGCTGAACTCCAAGTTTGGTAGTGCCTATGGGTTTGGTAGTGCCTATGGGTTTGGTAGTGCCTATGGGTTTGGTAGTGCCTATGGGTTTGGTAGTGCCTATGGGTTTGGTAGTGCCTATGGGTTCGGTAGTGCCTATGGGTTCGGTAGTGCCTATGGGTTTGGTAGTGCCTATGGGTTCGGTAGTGCCCATGGGGCGCCAAGATTTTCACACCACATGCACCTCTTCCTAATTTCAGATGGACGTTTACTGCTTCCTGTTCACGGATCTGTTCCTCATCACGAAGCCGGTGAAGAAGGCGGAGAGGACCAAAGTGATCCGCCAGCCGCTATTGGTGGACAAGATCGTCTGTAGGGAGCTGAAGGATGCAGGTAGGTTGGCGTCCTCTCTTCCCGGTAAAACGTTTGCCGATCCATAACAAGAGAAGCATTGTCCAGCATTGGGTTGTGTCTGATCATCATAATCACAGGCGGCTCTTTGGCTTAGGACATCTCTCCTCAACCTTGTTACCCCTGAGGAACCCCGGAAATCATTTTCAGGTTCTTGGGGAACCCCGGCTTAGTGTCCACTTGGACATTACTGGTTAGTTTAGAAGTAGTGGAGGATTCCCCCCTTGCATTGGAGATCAGTGAAGGTGGGAGATCCGTCCGCCATTGCTTAAAGCCCAAAGAACTCCAAGCAACTTCAGGAGGAGCCCTGGATGAGGAGCCCTGGATGAGGAAGCCTGGATGAGGAAGCCTGGATGAGGAAGCCTGTATGAGGAAGCCTGTATGAGGAAGCCTGGATGAGGAGCCCTGTATGAGGAGCCCTGGATGAGGAAGCCTGGATGAGGAAGCCTGGATGAGGAAGCCTGGATGAGGAAGCCTGTATGAGGAGCCCTGTATGAGGAGCCCTGGATGAGGAAGCCTGTATGAGGAGCCCTGTATGAGGAGCCCTGGATGAGGAAGCCTGTATGAGGAAGCCTGTATGAGGAAGCCCTGTATGAGGAGCGCTGTATGAGGAGCCCTGTATGAGGAAGCCTGGATGAGGAGCCCTGTATGAGGAGCCCTGTATGAGGAGCCCTGTATGAGGAGCCCTGGATGAGGAAGCCTGGATGAAGAGCCCTGGATGAGGAAGCCTGGATGAGAATATTAGATCTTCTTTCAAGGACTTAACTGCAGGGCCGGGCCAAGGAGTGGGCAGGAGGGGCACTGCAGTGTCATGCTGCAAGGAGATTGGGGGGAGGGGATTTGTCTTGGGACGAGGAATTTGAGGCAGGGGGTAAGAATTGTTGTAGGAGGGGAAATTTTGGGGGGGGGGGGGGGCTGCTAGGAGTGTTGATATGGGGGGATTTGTTTTGGGAGGGGGGATGGGGGAACAGGATTTGTGCAAGGAGGGGAAATTGAGGTGGGTGGGGGAGTTGCTAGTAGAGGTCATATGGTAGAGGGAGGAGGGTATTTGTGCTAGTAGGGGAAATTTATGGGGGGGGAGGTAGTTTCTGCTAGTAGGGATGATTGGGGGGTATTTGTGCTAGGAGGGGAAATTTTTAGGGGGGGTTTGTGCTAAGAGGGGGGACTGGAGGGGGATTTGTGCTCGGAGGGAGAATTTGGGAGGGAAAATTTGGGAGGGAAGATTTGTGCTAAGAGGGTGTATTGGGGGAGGGGGGGGGGGAGAGTTTGTGCTGGGAGGGGGGATTTATGCTGGGAGGGAAAATTTGAGGGGGGAGGGTTTATTCTAAGAGGGGGGATTTGTGCTGGGAGGAGAAATTTGAGGGGGGGAGGGTTTTTGCTAAGTCGGGGGATTGGGGGGGGGTTGTGCTGGAAGGAGGGGATTTTGAGTGGGGATTTGTGCCAGAGGGGAAATTTGAGGGGGGAGGCAAATATTCCTGCTAGGAGGGGAGATTTCAGCAGGGGGTGGCTCTGTAATGAGAGGAGGGGGTAAGCGTGCAGATTAGTGCACAATTTTTTTTTTTTCTGGGGAGGGAGATTTTTGCTCATACATCTTGGGGGGGGGGGCGCAGTTTGGCACATTCCCCCCCGGCTCTAATAGACCTGGTCCCGGCTCTGCTTGCCTGGTTAGGACATTCCAGTCTTCTCCGGGCGTCTCCAGCGCCTCCTCCGCACATGCTGCATGTTCATTTATCTGCACTGACTTCTGGGTAGTGGAACATTCAGCGGCCGGGACCGTGCGGAGGACTTTGTCCATGCAGCAGATGTGCCTCGGAGATGAAAGATAAATATTGTCCTTTGGTTGGAGATCTGATGTTGTGTGTCCGGAGCAAACACTGACTGGAGGAAACCAGGCGCACCGCGGCGGAGGATACATACCTGCCGGATATACAGCAGACCCTCTGCACAATTTTCATTCTTAAAGGACAAATCCGCGTTTTCTGAGGAAGACAATTTGTAGTTTAAAGACACTGAAAATATATATAAATATAAAAAAAGTGTCAATGCGAAGACAAGATTTCCTACTTTCCATACTTTCCGGCTGATTGTTTTACCGATAAAAAATCTGCGCGTGAGCCGTGACCTGGAAGAAGAAGAAGAATTCCAGTCCGCTATTATATTTTATATGAAGTCTTGCGGTTGCAACAATGTATCCATTTGTATCCTTTTGTATCCATTTGTATCCATTTCGGATACAGATGTTTTTATTCCGATACAAATGGATACAAATGGATACATTGTTGCAACCGCAAGACTTTTTCATGTCAAATATAATAGCGGAGCTCTCTGCAGGGACAGTAATTAAATGCCAGCCGTAGGCGGGACGAAAATCGGCCGATTTTTTTTTTTTTTTTTTTTTACTGTTGGTAACGTCGGCCAATTTGAACAACCGATTTTTTACTTTTTTCGACCCGTCTATGGCCTGCATTAGTGCCGGCGCGACTTTCCAGGCCATTTGATACTTTCAAATCACATGACCAGTCGCACCTTTTTGTCTGCAATTGATGCGGTCACATCGGTGTGATCCTGACTTCGGCATACACTTCTTTGCAATTTCAGGTGCGACTTGCATAGACATCGCACCTGAAGTCGCACCGGCATTCTTCTCTAAAATCAGGTGAAGTCCCACAACTTCACAGTCGGATTGGTGCGACCGAGGTCTTCGCTATCCCCAGCTCCGCCTTCACTGAGCGACTCATCAGGCGATCGTTCATACATCTGCACTGGGGCTGGTGGTGTGATGGTTTCCACCTAGTCGCACCTCCATGCACGGTAGGCTCAGGAAGGGCTGATTGTTGGTACTCATCGGGAAACGTGAGGTGCGACTTGTCATGTGACTTTGGAACCCCAAAGACAAGTCGCACGTTGCGTCCTTTAGAGCCCAATCACACTTGTGTGAATTGTCTTTGGGGTCCAAAGTCACATGACAAGCCGCACCCCGTGTTTCCCGATAAGTACCATTTATATATGTGCGACTTTAAATCGCAGCAACTTGAAAGTAGCTCCTGCATTTCTTTTGGCTGGACTTTCATGCAACTTGAGGGCCATAGACTTCAATGTAAACCCTCCCAACGTCAGACATGCGACTCGTGCGACATTGTACAGCACAAACAGTCGTCCTTGGTCAAAGCCAAAGTCACACCCATCCAAAGTCACATCACACCCATCCAAAGGCACATCACATCGGCACCAAAGTCGCCGCACATCCACGCCAAAGTCACATCACATCACATCCGCGCCAAAGTCACATCACATCACATCCACGCCAAAGTCACATCACATCCGCTCCAAAGTCACATCACATCCGCTCCAAAGTCACATCACACCCATCCAAAGTCACATCACATCCGCGCCAAAGTCACATCACATCACATCCGCTCCGAAGTCACATCACACCCATCCAAAGTCACATCACATCTGCACCAAAGTCGCCTCACATCCACGCCAAAGTCACATCACATCACATCCGCGCCAAAGCCACATCACATCACATCCGCGCCAAAGTCACATCACATCACATCCGCTCCAAAGTCACATCACATCACATCCGCGCCAAAGTCACATCACATCCGCTCCAAAGTCACATCACACCCATCCAAAGTCACATCACATCCATGCCAAAGTCGCATCACATCCGCATCAAAGTCACATCACATCCGCATCAAAGTCACATCACATTTGCGCCAAAGTCACATCACATCTGCGCCAAAGTCACATCACATCCGCATCAAAGTCACATCACATCCGCATCAAAGTCACATCACATCCGCATCAAAGTCACATCACATCCGCATCAAAGTCACATCACATCCGCATCAAAGTCAAGTCAAAGTCACATCACATCCGCATCAAAGTCACATCACATCCGCATCAAAGTCACATCACATCCGCGTCAAAGTCGCCTCACAGTTGCGTCAGAGTCCCATCAGGTCAATGAAAGTCGCATGATCCTGAGGTCGCAGACGTGTGAATGGAGCCTTGATTTTGTTTTAATATTTTCCTGTCTCCTCCTTCCAGGTTCCTTCCTATTGATCTACCTGAACGAGTTCAGAAGCGCTGTTGCCGCATATACGTTTCAAGCCAGCGGCCAGTCGCTGTGCCGGGGGTGGGTGGAGGCTATTTACAACGCACAGGTGAGTCCATGCGTTTTCTTGCAACGCATTCAGTGTTAGAAAATGCAGGGAAACAAGGGGGGGGGATGGGTTGCAATTGCGAGAGCCTCTTCCTCTGTGTTCAAAGACCGGTATTTATAAAGCTTGTCTGAGCTGTCAGAAAACAAAAAGTACTGGTGATACACAGAAATGAAACAAAATCCTCCTACATAAGTTGTACCTGTTTATCTGTAGCACTCTCTCCTCTACAGGTATTCAAAGGCCAAATTTAGAAAGCTTTTCTGAACTGTCAGAAAAAAGGGAGGCAGAGAGTTGAAATTACACACTACAGAGCTCAGTGTGGAGAGCTCTGAGAGCTGATTGGAGGGAAGGGACACCCCCCCCCCTCCACACAGCTCACAGAAACTGAGCTGAGACTGTTGATCTGCTAGAAGTCATCCCCCCCTGACACTCTGTGTACCTCAGTGAGGAGAACTGATTGGAGAGAAAGGATTGTAGATCCTTCCATACACCCAGTAAGGTGACCGGTCTCAGGTGATGCACAGAGATTAAACAAATCTTTCTGCATCAGTTGTATCTGTTTATCTGCGGTCTTCTCTCCTCTATAGCTGTTCAAAGGGCAGGATGTTTACAGCTTGTCTGATCTTTCAGAAAGCAGGGGACTAGCTGAAGTTACACTCTGCAGAGCTCTGTGAGAGCTGATTGGAGGGAAAGGACACACCCCCTTCACACAGCACACAGGAACAGAGCTGAGGCTGTCAATCACAGGCTGTGTGCTGGAAGTCCCTCCCCTGTCACCTTTTATCTCTTGGTGTCAGGAAAACCTGTCAGACATGACTCATGCTGATAGCAGAGGAAGGACGCAGCAGACAGAAATGACGCTGAGTGCTCTAGACTGAGACAAGTACACGATGTGCCTTGTTCATATTTCATTTACAGTCACTTTAAACATGAAAACCTGGTGTGCCTATACCTGTCGCAGCCTGATGATGGCACTGTTGCCTGTTTTTCCCCCTTTGCACAGCTCTACTACAGGGGTCTCCAAACCTTCTAAAGAAAAAGCTATTTTACTGTCCTTCAGACTTTGGGGGGCTGGACTGTGCCCAGTGGGAGTAATCAATGGCCAATGATTTGTATTAGGGGGAGAAATAGTTTGTGTCAGTGGGAGGAATAGTGCCCCATCATTGGTGTCAGTGGGAGGAATAGTGCCCCATCATTGGTATCAGTGGGAGGAATAGTGCCCCATCATTGGTGTCAGTGGGAGGAATAGTGCCCCATCATTGGTGTCAGTGGGAGGAATAGTGCCCCATCATTGGTGTCAGTGGGAGGAATAGTGCCCCATCGTTGGTATCAGTGGGAGGAATAGTGCCCCATCCTTGGTGTCAGTGTGAGGAATAGTGCCCCATCATTGGTGTCAGTGGGAGGAATAGTGCCCCATCCTTGGTGTCAGTGGGAGGAATAGTGCCCCATCATTGGTGTCAGTGGGAGGAATAGTGCCCCATCATTGGTGTCAGTGGGAGGAATAGTGCCCCGTCATTGGTGTCAGTGGGAGGAATAGTGCCCCATCATTGGTGTCAGTGGGAGGAATAATGCCCCATCATTGGCATCAGTGGGAGGAATAGTGCCCCATCACTGGTGTCAGTGGGAGGAATAATGCCCCATCATTGGCATCAGTGGGAGGAATAGTGCCCCCATCATTGGCGTCAGTGGGAGGAATAGTACCCCATCATTGGTGTCAGTGGGAGGAATAGTGCCCCATCATTGGTGTCAGTGGGAGGAATAGTGCCCCATCATTGGTGTCAGTGGGAGGAATAGTGCCCCATCATTGGTGTCAGTGGGAGGAATAGTGCCCCATCATTGGTGTCAGTGGGAGGAATAGTGCCCCATCATTGGTGTCAGTGGGAGGAATAGTGCCCCATCATTGGTGTCAGTGTGAGGAATAGTGCCCCATCATTGGTGTCAGTGTGAGGAATAGTGCCCCATCATTGGTATCAGTGGGAGGAATAGTGCCCCATCATTGGTGTCAGTGGGAAGAATAGTGCCCCATCATTGGCGTCAGTGGTAGTAATAGTGCCCCATCATTGGCGTCAGTGGGAGGAATAGTGCCCCATCATTGGTGTCAGTGGGAGGAATAGTGCCCCATCATTGGTGTCAGTGGGAGGAATAGAGCCCCATCATTGGTGTCAGTGGGAGGAATAGTGCCCCATCATTGGTGTCAGTAGGAGGAGTAGAGCCCCATCATTGGTGTCAGTGGGAGGAATAGTGCCCCATCGTTGGTATCAGTGGGAGGAATAGTGCCTCATCATTGGTGTCAGTGGGAGGAATAGTGCCCCGTCATTGGTGTCAGTGGGAGGAATAGTGCCCCATCATTGGTGTCAGTGGGAGGAATAGTGCCCCATCATTGGTGTCAGTGGGAGGAATAGTGCCTCATCATTGGTGTCAGTGGGAGGAATAGTGCCCCATCATTGGTATCAGTGGGAGGAATAGTGCCCCATCATTGGTGTCAGTGGGAGGAATAGTGCCCCATCATTGGTGTCAGTGGGAGGAATAGTGCCCCATCATTGGTGTCAGTGTGAAGAATAGTGCCCCATCATTGGCGTCAGTGGGAGGAATAGTGCCCCATCATTGGCGTCAGTGGGAGGAATAGTGCCCCATCATTGGTGTCAGTGGGAGGAATAGTGCCCCATCATTGGCGTCAGTGTGAGGAATAGTGCCCCATCATTGGCGTCAGTGGGAGGAATAGTGCCCCATCATTGGCGTCAGTGGTAGTAATAGTGCCCCATCATTGGCGTCAGTGGGAGGAATAGTGCCCCATCATTGGTGTCAGTGGGAGGAATAGTGCCCCATCATTGGCGTCAGTGGTAGTAATAGTGCCCCATCATTGGCGTCAGTGGGAGGAATAGTGCCCCATCATTGGTGTCAGTGGTAGTAATAGTGTCCCATCATTGGCGTCAGTGGCAGGAATAGTCCCCCATCATTGATGTCAGTGGCAGGAATAATGCTTCAAGGGCCCGATAAAGGCAAGCAAAGGGCCCATCTGGTCCCCAGGGACGCGGTTTGCAGACCACTGCTCTACAAGATAAAAGATCAAACTATGGGGTGAATTTATAACAAGAATGCCCAGCAATGCGTCTGGTGACACCCCGTGTTCATGTGTTCACAATCAAATGTCATTCGGCTATTTCCTATGTTGGTCAAATGTTGTTCATTGATTTAAAATGGAAAATACCACTTTTGGCCACTAGATGGCACCAAGTATCAACTCTATTTACTCAGTGCCATCTGCTGGCCAAATGCTCTATTTTCAGTTCAAATGCTGAGAGCCACAATCCACAACAGCCAATAGGATATTAGCAGTCTGTCATACAAAAAAAAAAACTGTACTGTTCTCTTTTCCTAGAACCTCCTGCAACGATTACGCCAGGAGCACGTGCAGAGCCAGCAACAAGGGTCTCGCCTTCCGGAGGAGGAGGAGGACATGGAAAGCGGGACCTCCACGCCCAGCTCACCGACCATCCCCCGGCGAAGCAGCGCAGATATCCCCCGCAGGTAAAACCGTATTACGACCCTACAGTCACATGGTCTTCAAGGTCCAAATACGGCCGGACATTACTTAGAATGTCATACAAAAATTCTCAGCACATTCGATGACTCGACAAATGTTTGAAAGTTGAGTGAATGTTCTTAAAGCAAAACGAAATTCCACTGGTGGACGGACAGATTTACTCCAGACAATAGGAGATTGGAGGGGGGCACTGTAGAGACTGAGGGTTCTTAGGGGGCCTGGTGGCACCATGAATGGTTGTGGAGCACTGTGGGAGGTTGACTGGCACTGTAGGGACTTAGGGCTCTTAGGGGACCTGGTGGCACCAAGAGAAGTTGGGGGCACTGTAGACCACTTTGGGAGGTTGAGGGGCACTGTAGGGACTGAAGGCTCTTAGGGGGCCTGGTGGCACCATGAATGGTTGCGGAGCACTGTGGGAGGTTGACCGGCACTGTAGGGACTTAGGGCTCTTAGGGGGCCTGGTGGCACCAAGAGAGGTTGAGGGGTACTGCAGGCCACTATGCGAGGTTGAGGGGCACTGTAGGAACTTTTAAGGGGCCTGCTGGTACCATGAGACATTGATGGGCACTGTGGGCCACTATGGGGCCACTATGGGAGGTTGAGCTTGAGCGGCACTGTAGGGACTTAGGGCTCTTAGGGGGCCTGCTGGTACCATGAGACATTGATGGGCACTGTGGGCCACTATGGGAGGTTGAGGGGCGCTGTAGGGACTGAGGGCTCTTAGGGAGACCTGGTGCCACCAGGAGAGGTTGAGGGGCACTGCAGGCCACTATGGGAGGTTGACGGGCACTGTAGGGAGTGAAGGCTCTTAGGAGGCCTGGTGGCACCATGAGAGGCTGAGGTGCACTGCTGGCCACTATGGGAGGTTGAGGGACACTGTAGGGGTCACTATGGGAGGTTGAGGGGCACTGTAAGTACTGAGGGATCTTAGGGGGCCTGGTGGCACCATGAGAGGTCAAGGGGCACTGTGAGCCACTGTGGGAGGTTGAGCGGCAATGGAGGGATTGAACGCTCTTAGGGGGCCTGGTGGCACCATGAGAGGTCAAGGGCACTGAGGTCCACTATGGGAGGTTGAGAGACACTGTAGGGACTGAGGGCTCTTAGGGGGGCTTGGTGGCCCAACTCCCATTTTATCTGCAGCTATTTTCTTTACACTTTGGTGTTCATTTTGACAATTTTGTGGGTGAATCTCTATCTTGGCTCATTAATAGTTTATACATTTTTTTTTTTTTTTTACAGTCCTTCAGACAGCTCAACAGAAACCATATCGGTAGTGGTGGTTGACGCCGGTGAAGACCTCTCTTCTCCCGAAGCTGATCAAGGCCCATTTGGCTCCCAGTCTGACGAGACTTCAATCAGCACCACGGCATCCTCCTTAACACCCACCAGGGAGATGTTTGAAAGTATGGAGACATCGGAGGCGAGTCCAGTAGGGGATTCCAACTACCTGACACTGGAGCCCAATGGGTGTAGGTCTTCCTCCATTGACAGCGCCTACGGGACCCTCTCCCCCACCTCGCTGGAGGAGTTTGTGGAACGTCAACAACAAGAACTGACAGAAGAAGAGAGGGAGTCGGTCAGTTCCCAGCGTTCTAATTTGTCCCCGAAACTCAAACGGCGCACCCCAGTCCAGCTCTTGCCGTGCAAGTCCAAGGTCCTGAAGTCCAAGTCAGAAGCCAGTCTCCTCCAGCTGATGTCAGTGAGTCCTACCAACCACACCGAAGACGAAACCCAACTTTCCCAAAGTAAAAGCTTGTGCGAACTTTTTATGTCTCCGGGACCAGTACATTTTACGGACTCCGACGGCCAAACCGATGGCAGCGGTTGGCATTTTGCCAAAAGGACTAGCTTGGTGGAACGTTTGTCGAAGAACGTTGAGGCGCACTTAGTAAAGCCCAGATCCCAGTCGGACTGCACGGGGGTTCAAGTGGTCAATTTAAGCAGCTGCAGCAGCAGCTCCTCCGACCTTTCCGATTCGGCGGAGACGGGATTCTCCAAAGACGATGACAACGAGAAATTAACGGACCCGCTGTCAGATCAGCTGGACTCTCTCCCGGAGTTTGAGTTCGACCCGGAGTCCCACGTGTATGGTAGCTCTTTACCCGAACAGTGTGGCGAGGACATTGGGAGGGAACTGGACGATGCTAGCGCTCCTGGCTGTGCCAAGAGTACAATGTCGGATCCTCAGATGGCGCAGCACAGGAAACTTACCCTGGCCCAGCTTTACAGGATAAGAACCACTTTACTGCTCAATTCAACTCTGACGGCCTCGTAAGTGTCCTCCACTTTTTATGTTTGTCCAGCTTCACCCCTTCCCAGCATCCTTTTAAATGGGTCTGTACTCCTCAGGGGCGGGACTGACTGCCTGATCACATGACCACTGGGATTGGCTGTTATAGTGGTCACATGGTCAGGAGCCAGTCCCTCCAGGTTCCGATCATTACAGGAGACCAGGCAATGTCTATGACGGCTTGGTCACAGTGAGTGCGCTCCTAGCACAGAAATCGCGCTCTCCGTGGACGCAAACGCGTGAAAAAAAGGGTGCGTTTTATTGCATTATGTAGGCACCGATGGTTTGATTTAGTTCTGGACAGAGCAAGGAAGGGTTAGGCCGGCCATACATGGGTCGAAAATCGACCCAAGAGAAAACGTAAGAATGATCGTCTGATTTTCGGTCCGTTAGTGGGGTCAATGGCACCGGCTGATTTTTCGTGGTTCCTCCCCTTTTCGGTGATCGGGCATATTGGAAAATTCGTGAAAAATGACTGATTTTCGCTCTGTTAGTGGGGTCAATGGCACCGGCCGATTTTCGCTCTGTTAGTGGGGTCAATGGCACCGGCCGATTTTCGCTCTGTTAGTAGGGTCAATGGCACCGGCCGATTTTCGCTCTGTTAGTGGGGTCAATGGCACCGGCTGATTTTCGCTCTGTTAGTGGGGTCAATGGCACCGGCTGATTTTCGCTCTGTTAGTGGGGTCAATGGCACCGGCCGATTTTCGCTCTGTTAGTAGGGTCAATGGCACCGGCCGATTTTCGCTCTGTTAGTGGGGTCAATGGCACCGGCTGATTTTCGCTCTGTTAGTGGGGTTAATGGCACCGGCTGATTTTCGTGGTTCCTCCCCTTTTCAGTGATCGGCATGTTGGAAATTTGTGAAAAACGACCGATTTTCGACTCAATGATGATCAAATTGTACAATCGTTTTTCCAAATAGAATATGCGCATGAGCCGTGACCTGGAAGGAACAGAAGTTTTGTCTGTTATATGGGGTGAACTTTATGACTTGGTTGGCCGATTTTCAAAATCAATGATGGTGCCGTCGGATTACCGAGCGAAAGACGTTACCGATTTTCGGATGAAAAATCGTTCGGAATTCGAATCCATGTATGGCTGGCATTAGAGCCCGATCTTATCTGTCCTTGTTGACTAGATTTCCTTTACTTCCTGTCAGGACAGGAAGTGATGAGAAATCTCTCTGCTGGGGACACAGACATTTTTAGGCCCCACATTCAGGGGTGGGCAACTGTGGCCTCCAGCGGTTGTAGAACTACAAGTCCCATGAGGCATTGCAAAACTGACAAGCATGACTCCCAAAGGCAGAGGCATGATGGGACTTGTAGTTCACCAACAGCTGGAGGGCCACAGTTGGACACCCCTGCATTAGGCGGTTTGGAATCACAGCAGAGGCCTTCATTCCCCAATGTGGTGCGATTTTGCTATGATTGCCGCGCGACAAAATTGCGTTTTGTTCCATTTTTTCTTTTTTACATTTTGACTTTTCTGTTGTTTTCCTTTTTCTTCCAGTGAGGTTTAATATCGCGGAGCGGACACAAGCCTGCCAGCAAAGGTGTAAATAAAGCTGCGTCACCCAGGCGGACGATTTCCAGGCTTCTCACCGCCTCCTTCAAGATGGCGTCTTCCAGAAGGACCTCCCTTCCCGCCACCTCGCTTACCGCAGCGACGCATCAACGGCAAAGCAACTGGATCCTTCCAAACATTTTTGGAAAACCGTGTCCATCCCCTCCCCCCCCCCAAAAAAACTACAAACCGAACTTACGTTTGCACTTTGAGCAATAAAGAGTTTTGAAAAAAAAAAAAACTCTGCAGAGGGTAAAAAAAAAAAAAAAAACCCGGGTCGCGGCGTAAAATGCCGTAAAATTTCAGTCCGTCGCCGGACCGGGAAGATCCCGAGATTTCCCCTGAAAACGCATCTCTGCCTGGACTCCTGGAGAAACCCTCGCGCACCTGTCCCTCCATTCCGAGTTCCTTCGATATTTTTACGTGCTGACTCCTGCCGCTACGTCACTGCCGCCATTTTGTTGAGTTGGTGCCAGGAATGGCGTTTTGTGGGCGTTGGACGGAGTAGAGGTATTTCCATGCGGGTCTTCCGTGGAGCTGCTGCTCTTCTTCTTCAGAAGGCTTCTGTAGGTGACCAAAGTCAGAGGATGACTCTTCTGTATATACGTAGGACGCACTTATGACGCGGCGGCGTCACCGGCATCACCGGCGTATAGCTAGGCGTCCAATCACGACATCCTGGGATGTTGCTGGATGGGTTTAAGCAAGTGAATTTTTTTTTTTTCGATTACACATACGAAGACTCCTAGCAAAGTGTCTGAAAGAAGAACTGTCTGTGTTGCCCATAGCAACCATTTAAAGTTGAATTTTATGACCTTGGGTGGTAGAAGGCATGTTGGGCCCCAGAGGGGGGAGAATGACCGGTGGGGAGGTATTGGTCTATCCTCGCTTTACTGACAGCAGCAGGAAGGGCCCATGGACACTCCCACGTTGCGGTGTTACTGCATGGGGGGGTTCATCATTCTGATGCACTTACCCTAGAAAAATAGTTCATGTCATTTTTTGGGAAGTTAGGGACCATTGGCAGCATACAAGGTGCGTTGGCGTGCGACGTTACGGCACCACGCAATTGTGCAGGGGCCCTCAACGGCCTTTGGGCTTGTGTTGATGGCATTAGTTTGACGTCCGTTTGAGAAGCTTCTGAGACCATGTAGGGCTTTTTCACATGGGCCCATACAGCCTGCAGAGGGACCATGGGCAGGGGCGGACTGACCACTCATGGGGCCACCGGGCAATAGGAAATCATGGGGCCCCTGTGTCCTCACCCACACTCAAACCACACCCAAAAAAGCCTATAAAAGGCAGCAGGGGCAACTCGGGGCCTCCTATTGACCCCGGGCCCTCGGGCAGTGCCCAAGTGGCTAAATGGTCAGTCCGCACCTGACCATGGGCATCCAGGGCCGTGCATCCACCGTTTTACGGATGTGCAGGAAGATCTATCCAGCTGCTTCATCCTTCAATATCTACTGGCTACGGGCCACGGCTGTTTGGAGTGCGCTGTATGGGCCTCTATGCCCATGGGAATGAGCTCTTTAGAATTAGTTGACCCCCTTTTGACCCGCAGTTGGTCCAAACCCAAAGGATGCCGTCAAATGATATCTGGCCGACGGTCCATGTATCTGCAGCCATGGAATTCCCTGCCCGGCACCTAACTGGGACCAAGAGTGGTGGCGGATGTCAATATCCAAATTTGGCCATTGAACAGATTTGGCCATAAATAGGTCAACATTGTCACCAGCTGGTCCAGTCAGCTGCAGTAATGAAATTTCCTTCCCCGCTAGCGCACATAATGAAGAGGTGAGCTTGCTGGCAGACGTCACACTCCAAATAGGGCCTCCTGGCCATACGTGGACAACCCAATTGACCAGAGATGGCCACATGGCCTTATTAGGTCAATGGTGTTATCAATGGCAGTCCCTACCCTGCAGCCACACTTACAAAGGGACTGGGATGCTGGCTGATGTTGTTATCCAAATATGGCCCCCAGACCATGATTGGACAATGCCATTTACCAGGTATGGCCATGTAATCATATTAGGTCAATGCTCTCACCAACTGGCCCAATCGGCTGCGGCCACAGAATTCTTCACCCCGCAGCCACACGTAACAAATGGGCGCGGATGTTGGCTGATGGCACTATCCAAATATGGCCACATGGTCATGCTTGGACAACGCCATTGACTAGATATGGCCATGTTGGTTCAATGGTGTCACCAGCATTCCCACCCCTATATATTACGTGTAGCTGCCTGGTGGAGAATTCCACGGCTGCCACTGATTGGGCCAGCAACCTGCAATCATCTGATAGGGTCCCGTAGGTTTGGAACCCTGGCTCATCACTACTCCTGACCTGCTTCAGTGGATCTTGCTTCCCTATAGGCTTTTATGGTCAGTCAGACGTGGCGGATACAGGTCCTCAGGCCGGGGTACAGGAATGGGGCCCTATAGACAAGATGCTGGTTGCGATGGCGAGCCAACACCCACCTTCTCCTATGCTGACCAAGGCCTAGGGGATCGATGTATAAATCGTTCGTTGTGTGAAAATTGCCGAAATTTATCTGTTAGGTGTGAATCCTAGATCAGCACCATCTAGTGGCCACCATAAGATTTTTTTTACTATTACGGCCATTAGGTGGCGATGACGATACACGAATCACACCTAATAGAGGAAATACGGCAATTTTTGCCCCCAAATGATTGTCAGGTCCTCACGACGAACGTTTCCTACATAGACCCAGGGGCGGACTGACCATTTGGGAACTCGGGCGACTCAGTAGGGGGCCCCATGAGATGCCCCTGGTACCTTTTGTAGGCTTTTTTGGGTGTGGTTTGAGTGTGGGTGAGGACACAGGGGCCCCATGATTTCCTATTGCCTGGGAACAGAAGGGGTCCTATTGCGAGGGCCCGGGTCATGATTTCCTATTGCGAGGGCCCGGGTCATGATTTCCTTTTGCGAGGACCCGGGTCATGATTTCCTATTGTGAGGGCCCGGGGTCAGTAGGCGGCCCCATGAGATGCCCATGGTACCTTTCATAGGCTTTTTTGGGTGTGGTTTGAGTGTGGGTGAGGACACAGGAGCCCCATGATTTCCCATTGCCTGGGGGCCCCATGACTTGTCAGTCCGCCCCTGCATAGACCCCACCCCCCATGTATCTGACATGGGACAGTGACTTTAGAACATCCCTGCATGCCTCGTTCTGTCTCCACAGCAGCCCAGGCGGCCATTTTTTTCTAAGGCGGACATTTTTTTTTCGTAAGCGCACAGTGACAGTATTACCCCTCCCCCCACACACACGCACACCCTGGACATGGTGCTTGCCAACATTTTAAATTATTATTTTTTTTCTTGGAAATATTTGTTGATTTACGCTTTTTTGTGACTTTATTTAAATGTTCGAAGGGCACTTTATTTGTAAAAAAAAATA